CCCTCTCACCACCCTTCTCACCACCCCGCCTCTCACCCCACCCCCTCTCCCCACTCCTCTCACCACACCTCCCCTCTCACTCCCCCCTCTCGCCACCTACTCTGTGCGCAGTCGTGCATTTCGTCTCCAGGGAAGAATATATTATATTGCCGACTTTGGAGGAATTTCGGGGTTTTATGCATTACTTTCCATTGTGAAGCAATTGATTCTCCCCTCCCCAGGAGCGTACGCGGGTGGAAATCGCTTGCAAGCGTTCATGCATCGTGTGCCTCGTTTTGCCCAACGCCTTTTTGCGTTAAGCTCTCGGTTTTTTTTGCGCAATTTTTTTTTTCATTTTCCGCCCATTTTAGGGTTCGCAACCCAAAGTTCACAGACGGAGATCCATTCGATTTGGCTTCCTCAAAAAAAAAAACGGTGCGGTTAGAAAAAAAAAATCCTCTGCAAACCCTTGAACCAAAACACATCACAAACACTTAACGTTGTAGAGAATCGCCTTGGTGGTAAACCACGGGCATTACATCGAACGATCTTAGACCATTTGACCGGCACGGGAAGACAACCACGTGGCGAAAAGTTGTTGTCACATTCGTACTGGAAGGTGGAACAAAGTCAGTTCTATTTACACCACAATTGAGAAATCAGACCCCTTTTCCAAAAAAAAAAAAACTCTTACCTTGTGCAGCCACAAACAAACGACAAAGATCCCCCGTATAGCCTAAACATAATTTACACGAAGGTAAGTCCGACCTATAGAATCAAGACGCGTATAAAATATGAAAATGAGAGGACATACTCAAAGAAAAGCTAAAAGGAAAAATGAAAAAACGAGTCTTGCAGAGTTTCCTGAACTGTTCTGTGACTCGGAGCCAATCTGAGGGTCCGGTGTAGAGAGGTCCACATCTTAGTTGCACCCACACTCTGCTATCGCCCAGCGTACAATGAAACATTCTCTGGTAAGCGAGCAGGGCTTGCCATCAGGAGCACGAGGTTATGTTTCTGCCAGACGTCTGGGGGGCCAGACGGGACTGCAGGTACTGAGGATCAAGGCCGTTTTGAGCTTTGTAAGTCAATACAGCTCACTCAAACCTGTCAACCCATTACACTGGTCAACACACTTTTTCTGGCATAAGGTATTCGAAAGGTTTTAAGGTAATTTTGGGGTGCTGATTCCAAATCTGGCATCAGTTTGTGTCTATCACATCAGGTTTTTGAGATATAAAATATAGCATTTTCAATAAAAACTGCAGAAGAAAAATATTAAATAAATGTGGATATCTACATAAAATTATATTATAAACACACTATCATAAAAATACAGCACCATATTTTAACACTAAAGCAGTCACTGACTCGCAACAACTTGCAATCATAAGTGACAGAGTTAATTTCGGGTAAAATCAATGAAAATGGGGTATGCCGATAGCATCAAAATGATGTGATAGAGCAAATCTGAGATCAGATTTGGAATCAGCACCCTGAAATTAGTCTAAAACAACTGCAAAAGTCCAGGCCAGAAAAAAAGTTTTTTTTGTTGACCATTGTTATCAGTGCCGACCTTATTACAGACCAATTCAGACCTTATTGATCACCCCGTGCCCCTGAAAAGTCGCAACTTTCATCCTGCAAAGTCCCATCACAAGGAAGAAACACAAATATACAAACAACATTTTTGCCCGTATTGAAACGTCTGTACGCCATATGAACCTGACTACTCAATTTCTCTGGACAAGAATACGGGGTAAACCGTATGGTGTGACACGGTTATGCTTATTCGTCTTAATTCTAGATTTGAAGCTTTCGTGACTGCAAGGATTCATACTGTTAGGTTTTTTCGGTAAAGTCACGTAGGTAAAAAATAAAATTAAAAGTTAATAAAAGTAATAATGAAAATATGATGCAGTAATTTTAGCTGTGACGGTCCCACCTGATGACGGAGACTTGTGTTGCCTCCGAAACGTCGTGATTAATTATTTTATTTCCATTATTACTTTTATTAACTTTTAATTTTATGTTTTACCTACGTGACTTTACCGAAAAAACCTAACAGTATTTATTCGTCTTCTCGTCGACGAGGAAAATCGATGAATTCTTTTCGGGGCCTCTGGGAAGATTGTCGGTGGCCATGGCGCCTCGCCTGAGTTTGTGCAGCAACAACAGCAGGGGGCGTACAGCCACCGCCGACCCGGGGACTTCTCCCAACACCCCCAAGTCCCTCGCGACTCACCCACGCACCTTCCTCCTAGAGCCGCCTCCTCCTCCTGTCTTTGACATTCCTCCTGCGCGAAGGCATCGGCGGTGGAGCCATCGACAGCATCAGAACGTCAACAGGCTGGTGCGTAGCCACTCAAGTGGACAAAATGTTCATAGGGGCCGTCCATAAATGACGTCACGCGATTTTGTACGATTTTTGACCCCCCCCCCCCCATCGTCACGCGGCGTCACAAAAAGTCAGACCCCCCCTCAAATATGACGTCACAAAGCTCTGCCCCCCCTCCCCAAAAATAAAACATGCTTCAAATCGCTTTAAACTATTGTCATTGTAGTGCGTATTTAATGTGGCGCTGCACTCTGATGTCGTAGGAGAAAACATTCATTAAAAAGTATATTTAATTAAGTAGAACGTGTTGTCTATATTTATTTAAAGTTGCGCATTTTGATGTGACGTCACATTTCTAACCCCCCCCTTCTATGTGCGTGACGTCATTTATGGACGGTCCCATATACTATCCTCATGAAATGGCCATCATCCGCCAGTGGATATTAAAATACGGAGCTTTCAAGTGAAACACTGCCAGCGAAAGTGTAATTTGCTAGTGGTGCTTTGTATGAACTAGAAAATTCTACATTTACCGTACTGTATACATTTATTATTTAGGAGGCTATTCCTGCAGATTTCTAATATGGGGTTTAAGAAATCCACTTGTGAAGGTGTTTTACCGGCGTGACATTTTCCCATCTCAATAAGATCATCGTTTCTCTCCCCCCCTCCCTCTACCCGGGTCGTCTGCACCCCCCCCCCCCATCTCCTCCATCAACCAAGGGCGCGTTGGATCCACGCACCTGGTGGAACATCCACGTGCGGTTGTTTTTTTTTTGTCGCCCAACGTTTCGCAGCGAAAATAGAGCGATATATATATAAACTTACTAGTTTTACTACCCCGGCTTCGCCCGAGACTTGGATTCCTGTCTTGGATTAATAGGCGGCCTACGCGGAGGGTTGCGGGGGGGTGCGTGACGACAGGCACACTGCGTGACACTGCCGCATGCAGGGTGACATCACAGATGGGACGTCACCGCTCACCTGGCGTGCAAAATATATCCATTATTGCGCCTCCCCCCGAAAAAATACAAAAGTATATTATTTTATACTTTTTGCATTGTGTACAGTCTGGAAGCTACCCACATGGCAATTTTCAAGTTTGTTGCTTGTCGGGAAGTATGCGAAACATTTCGAACAGACACACATTCACAAATTTCCCTTTAAAAAATGCATTAACCACAATGCAGCGAGTGTGGCCACGCGAGCCAAAACACGATGGGTCCCACCGTAGCCTGCGCTCCTTTAACGACGAAGCAGCACCCACAAACTCCACGAACACTCTCCCTTGGAGCCGCGTGGAGCCCGTTCGAGCACGTGGTCGTGACAGGAACCGCTCGCTGCAAGACGCGAGTCACAGTCCATCCCAGCGCTCAGAGCTCCGTCGATTTCCACATCAACAAGGTCGCACTCGTTAACGCTCAGGGGCTTGCTCGCCACAAATGAATCGTGTTGACCTCGGTGATTTCAAGGAGCATAAGCCGTCACGCGAACTCCCGCTTATCCTCGCAGCAAGCTGCGGGTTTCTGGCTGAAACGTCGAACAAAAGACGGCAGTCACCGCATCGCGCGCTTTCAGATGCGCTTTCACGGCCGTCTGGAACGTTCTCCCATCCGATATTAGGACGCCACTGGAGCTATGCACTTTTAAATCTAGATTGAGAACTTATTTCTTTACAAGTGCTTTTTGTGTTTCGTTGTTTTGTCCTTCCCCCGCACCTCCGATTCGCACGGTTGGCTAAGCACCGCGTGAAAGAAGTTCAACATACACAAACCAGTCTAAATTTCGATTTAAAGCTTTCGTGACTGCAGGTCTGTCGAGAAGACAGACCTATTCTTCACCTGAGGACAGCTGCTTGCGTTGTGGCCGAAACGTCGTGAGAATTATTTAATGATGTTAGATTTTTATTATTTAATTATTTCCATTCTACGTGACTTTACCGAAAGAACCAAGACGATGAATCCCTGCAGTCACGAAAACTTTAAATCGAAATAAACCAGTCTAATCTACACGGGGGGGATCTATCTTGTATACGTGTTTACCGCAATGCTGACAGCGTTCATTGCTTAGCGCGTCGCGTGGGACGTGTTTAACAATCATCGGGCACGTGCAGCGTGCAGCGTGGAGCGACTTGCTGTATGGCAATTTGAATGGGAGTAAATTGTTAACCGCGGAATGACGTCGTGGCGTGGTGATGGGTCAGGGGGACTGGGGCTGCTGGGAAACCCTGGGCATAAACAACGATTACAAACATCACCATCACCAATAAATCGCAAACACTCATTCATAATTCTACATTTGAAGCTTTCGTGACTGCAATGATTCATATTCTTAGGTTTTTTCGGTAAAGTCGCGTAGGTAAAAAATTAAAATTAATAAAAGTAAAATAAAATAAAAATCACGACGTTTCGGAGGCAACACAAGCTTCCGTCTTCAGGTGTAACCGTCACAGCACGACTGCTGATTTTTATTTTATTTGATTAATTTTTTACCTACGTTACTTTACCGAAAACACCTAAGAATATGAACTCATTCATAAGTATAAATCAACACCCGGCACCACCGTCATCACGACCAACAGCAATTGAAGGCACTATATGTTGGACGTCTTTCGTACGTAGCCAACCGTGCTAATCGGACCAGACGAGCTCACGACCGTACTTGGAAATACATAACTAGGATGTTTAATTAAAGATTTTATTGAAAAGTTTTTGCATATATCAAAACAAAGCGTGTACACATGCACCCACTTCAGAACTGCAAAACGAATTCACAACACGCAGGTAAGTATTTGACAAAAACAGACGTAGTAAGCACACTCGCATCGCATCCGACCACACCGTGTGTGGCTTTGTCGGTGCGAATTCAAGATCAGTGCTTGGGGCCTGGCCGTCACTGCAAGCGCCCGAGGCGCACTAATCGGATACCAGAGTGGCGATAAGTTTCAACCCGGCAACACAGTGTCGACCGAACTTGAACGCGATCAGTCACCCGCGCTGGCGAGCCGTGATCACGTTCTCGAGTTACGAACGCGAAGTCGGCCAGCCAGAATGCATCCGAAGGTCCTCTTCGGCTGTCGGCGAGGTCAATCTTCCCGAGCCCTGAGTTAATACCACGCTGCGGTGCTTGGAATCAAGGCACTTAAGTTTGGGGGGCCAGTCTCCCCCAGAAGGATGTTTCACCCCACACCTCCTGCCCACCCCCACCCAAAACAAAATTTAGGACAATTAACTCCTTCAAAAGAGACACAAAAAGGGGTCCACGTTGTCTCAACCGCTCAAAGCGAGCAACGGGGAAGCGCGCTCATCTCGGTCGAGCCAGCGGTGACAATTCCACACTCGCATGGCAGAGACAGTCCATCCAAGCGTTGCATTGTATTTTATATTTCAGTTATATCATGGCACTTTGCATAACTTGATTAGGTGACCGCCATGCAGAGAAACACGTGGTGTACGGTTGATGCGGGCATACGTTATCGGCAGAGGGCAGATCAGCAAGTAGACTCCACCTGGACTCTACTGATGTTCTTCGAACACTCCGTCTGTGCTTCTCTGCCTTCACCGAACAGCACCGACTGACCAGCGTGATGAAATAACCCCCCTCCCCCAACGATCCCGTACGGTGTACGTAGGTCCTCATCCAGTCGTCGATTGACAAAAGACCACTGGGGGTTTATGTACACACGGAATATACCGCAAAATATCAGAAGCCCTGGAGTTTTAAAGTCTAGAGGCGTTAGACGAACACGCCGTTTGAAACCAAACCGTACATTTCACACGGGTAAAAGAAAACGACGCTGGTGGAATTAGCTCTAGGAGTGTATTTGGCCTACTCTTCCACGCTGGGCAGACGTCTTTGGAAGGTGTGCCCACACGTATCCCCCACCACCACAACGCGCGACTTGCCCATCGACTTTCCCATCGACTTCACTGCGATTAACCCAATTACACCCCTGGGTTGGAAACGAGGCGGGGGGTTGGCGGATTTAAGAAACTTGCACCTTTATTTCAGCTGCCGTGCCGGGAGATCGAAATTTGGACCTCTAGACTTCCGGTCTGGCGTCCTAAACAATGACACCGCGGCAGCAGCATCTTCTTATTTCCACAGTGCTGGCACGAGTATAATATAAAGTAACAAACTGTGCTGCATTCTTGCGGTTTCAAGCCTCATCTCACAGCGGAGGGTTCGAATTTCAAGGCCATTTTAAAATGTATTAATGCTCCACTGTGCCAATGGGGGCGACCAAAAAGCTGTGACGACAAAAAAAACTCAAAACAGAATGGTCCCGGGATTATTCACGCCCGAGGAGTGGGGGAGGGGGGCACGTGGGGAACGGTGGCGCAGTGGTTGGCGCACGCTCCGCGATATGAACCTGCCGACCTGAGTTTGACTCCTGGGCCACGGTTGGCATCCGTCAGTGGTGAGTGAAATGCTAACCGGTTCTGGCCCCTGCCCCCCCCCCACATGCTTCTTTCACTAAAGCCTCGCTGTGACCAGCGTGGTGAAGTATGGCAAAACCACAATCCACCATGACGGGTGGCGAGGCCTGAGACCTTCATCCAACAGTGGATTGATAAAGGGCTCGACGTTATGTGAATCAAACAACATAATTTTTTTTTTTTACACATGCGGGGGCTTGAATCCATTTAAATTGTGCGTCAAAGAATCGATATTACCGCATTCTCCAGATGATGAGCCACTCCGGGAAGAAAGAATCCCAAAGCTACACTTGAGTGTTAATAAAGTTATACAAGTATCTGTCAAACAAACACACACACACATAGGATACAGAATTATAAGACGCACTCCCAACTTTTGATTTACAATACGGTGGTGGAGGGAATGCATCTTATCTGGAGAATCCGGTCATCGACCATGAATCTATCTACGCAGTTACATCTCTACTGCACAGCACTTGGTCTTTGTTAACAGTGTAATACAAGTGGAGATAAGAGGGTCACATGTGTTAGACCCTCCTCTTAAGTAATGAGGATTGAGGGAGGGGGGCATTAGAAAACGGATTCTCCCCACCCACCTCCATCACGTGCAAATATGAAACGGCAAAAGGACAATAACAATACGTACAAGGGATTATTTCATAACACAATATCAAAATCACTGAAAAAGGCCAAACCAGCACGCGCGACTATATTATTGTTCCCTGTCCATGTAGGCGGCGGCGGCTGCTTCTGCCGCTGTGCGCGCTCCGGAGGCACCGTTTTAAAGCCACCGCACATTCTGGGGTGTCTCACCGGGGGGAGGACCACACGGGCGAGCCGGGAAACGCCTCCCTCCGTCAGCCCCACGCACGTCTGCACAGCTAACGTCCAACTCGACCGCTTTCGCCACGCACATCAGCGAGCTTCCTCGTCCTCCTCTTGGCTTCTTTCCGACACCGGCCCTGCCCCCGCCCCTGCTCAGGCAGCCCCGCCCCCCTTCGCCCCATATCACGAGTCGAGGAACCGATTGTGAATTTCGCAAAAAAAGCTTCGGAAACGGTCGCGATGGACCCGCCCGGAATGTACGTCAGCTTTAACGTAATTTTGCTGCGGTGGTGGCAGTTAGCTACCAAGGGCGTCTGTGTGAAGTGACGATGGTATGGGCAGGGAGGAAGGGCAGGGATCCGACAGCACGGAAGTCTGGGGGATTTCCGGGTTCCATACCATTGGAGTAGCGGACAAGAATGAACGACATCCAGCAGCACTTGTTACTCTTGAAATCAAGGCAATTTTGACTCACCCCCTGAATTCCATCGACTGAGGGGGGGGGGGGGGGGTATCACCAATGTCTGCATCCATGACCCAGGGTGCATTCGTGTGACCCCCAGGACCCCGACAGAGCAGTCGTTTGGGGGGCGAAGTGGGAGGTGGGTGCATGGACAAATACAGCGATTGTCCCTTCCACACAGACGCTGCTCAGTTCCAGTGACGAGGAATTTTCTCCCTAGCAGGAACAAAAATCGCCACGGCCAGCAGGGCGGTGTGGAGGCGGTGGCCTCAAACGCTTTAGCGTGACGAGGGGGAGCTCAAAAACTCGGTCGTAGAAATGTAGAGCATTGAAAACAAACCCCCCCGCGTGTCTGCGTAAATCGCACATAGTTGGCGGAATAGTATAAGAATTAAAGTCATAAAAAAATATCTCAGCACTAATGTTTTTTGGTTTGATATTTGTAAACACTGATGTCGGGCAGCTTCCGGAGGCCTTCATCCAGCAGTGGACCGATTATGGCTGCGGTGATGACGTTACCGCTACTTAGTGGCGAATGGCATCTTTTGTTGTTATTGTTGTGGTTGTCGGTAGTGCAAATAGGTTGTGGTATGTGGATTTCAATGGTGCAAATATGTGTTGGTAGCACGTGCATGTGTGTGGGTGTAATTGTAGTGCATGCATGTACGTACATTGTGGTGCGCGTGTGTCATTAGTGCATATCTGTGTCAGCAGTGCACATGTGTGTTGACAGTGCGAGTTATAATAAGTACACATGCGTGTCGGTTAGTGTGTACGAGTGTTTGGAGTGCAAATGAGTTGGTAGCATGCGATGTCAGCAATGCATGCACGCATACATACATTTGTGTTGCTCATGTACGTTAGTGTGGGGAGTTCCAGATCAGCGTGGCGGTGCGAGCGAGCGTTTGAAGTTGGATGCAGCTGCCCCAGCGCTCGTTGGTGCTGCCGTATAATTATCAGAAATGTCAACGACGGCGGTGTGCGTGTGTCAGCATTGGGGAGTCGTAGTGCAACGGTTAGCGCGCTTCGCTACGAACTCGGTGACCATAATTCGATTCACCTTTACGGCCAACACCGGTGACGATTATCCAAATCGGTTCTGGGCCTCCCCTTGGTCGACTCTGCCTCAAAAGATTACCCGGTGTGATGTAAAAAACATCGCCACTGGGGAGACAAAGGCGGCCGGGCATGGTGCTGGCCACCCACCCCCGTCGTGTGCAGTGCAGGCTTTCATTAGGTGCTCGCTAACAGCACTTGCCCTGACAGTCTGTTGAGGCTATAGGGGGGGACCTTTGTCTTTGTTAGCAGTTGTCAGTCCGTGTGTTGGTGTGTGCGGATTGCGGTGACGAAGCTGCCCCGGTCCTCATGACACGTAGACTCGAGCGGAGTTCTCCCTGGGGTTTTCGAAGGGGTCGAAGTGCCTCGTGGCCGCGGCGTACTGAGCATGACAAAGAGAGACGAGGAGCAGGGTTACACGCACGCCAAAAATGAGCACGCTGGCTCGATTTTCGTCGCCAAATATACGCATATTTTCCATCATCCGTTTCGTCAGGGCCGCTCATCTACTCTTCGAAAGCTTTCCAACTAGGGTGGGAAGCGCTGTTTGTTAGCTCTGTCCATCTGCGTGGAACACCGAGATCGCGACCACTCTCATAAAGGTCATCAAATATGAACAAAACTTTATTGTAACCATGTGTTGCTTCTTAGGAACTTATCCAAGAGAAAACTGGCCAAACTAAAAATACAAGGATTCATGCCCAAAACTTGTAGACAGAAACCAGAGGAAAAAAATAACTACGTGAGAATATACAAATGCTTTTTGGCCCGGCAGCTACCCGTCGGCTTGCCTCCCGCACTATTTCTGAAAACAACAGCACCTTGCACAGAGCGCTGCATAAACCCTCCGGACTGTGCGTAAAAATGCCAGGCCAACGCGATTCGACTCACGGAGGGAGGTGGCGAGTAGCGGGAGAGCAGCGGGGCGTCCTCCATCCTGGGGGCGGGCGGGCTGAAGGAGGACGGGCGGTTCCTGCGGAGACACAGTAGCAAAGTCATCATCAGCCGTCATATATCCACTGCTGGGCGACAGCCTTCCCGCGGGCTCTCAAGGCGAACAATCCATCGAACTCCTGCACACGAGTTGGTTCATCGCTCCGTTTGTGGTGGAAGTGCTCTGGGGCGAGTTTCCCTCCTTCTGCTGCCACTCCATCGTTAGTCTCGACCACCGGCCATCGTTTATTCCCAGCCACGATGTGTGCTGCTGCCCCAGCCCGCTTACTCTTCTTCACCACGGTGGTGAGATGTTATCCACCTTACCTGGTATAAAGGGGGTCGTGAGTTCGATCCAGACCCCGACACCTGTTATTATTTGGAGTTTGCATGTTCTCCCCGTGGTCGTGTGGACATTTCTCCGGGTCCTCAGGTTTTTCCCTCCATATTTAGAATCAACGTGCGTTTAGAGTAGTTGGCTGCTCTATATTTCCGCGTGATAAGCCACTTCCCATTGAGCTATCGTCTGTGGCCAGGTAGCTTCTAAAAAAATAGCTGTACAGCTCAGTGGGCCTTACCTGCTGAAATAAAATAAAAATGCACGTTTTTTTTGTTTCCCATTCACTCTGTCCCTTAATTTCCACGTGTTCCTCTTCCAATGTCCCAGCGTAGATCCAAGCATGTTCCTCTTCGCGTGTCTCAGTGAAGTTCTGGGTTGCTGTAGACTGGCACACTAAAATAGCCAGCCATATGGTATACTGGGTGTGGTGTGCCAGGTGTGGAAATATTTTTCCCAGGTTGCCGATGCAAACAAACCCAGCTAAAATAAACCCCTGGGACACATACACTCACACAGGACTCGTTGACTCAATACAGCACTCAGACCTATACAGGACCTGATGATTTCGATTTAAAGCTTTCGTGACTGCAGGGATTCATCTTCTTGGTTCTTTCGGTAAAGTCACGTAGAAGGAAAATAATAAAATAATAAAAATAAAACATAATAAAATAATTCTCAGCCGTTGTGGCCGAAACGTCGTGAGAATTATTTTATTATGTTTTATTTTTATTATTTTATTATTTTCCTTCTACGTGACTTTACTGAAAGAACCAAGAAGAGGACCTGATGACTCAATACAGCACTCAGACCTACACAGAACATGATCACTCAATACAGCACTTAACAGGCCTACACGGGACCTGTAGCCTGGATTTAAATCAGATCTCAAACATTTAAATTGCCAATCGCCGTGCTTTACACTTGAGCATGAGAGGTCAAGGGTGGGGGGGGGGGGGGGGTGTGGTGGTGGGGGGGGGTACCCACCCATGGTGGAGGGCGGGCGACGTGGGTCGCACGAGGGCTGTTGTTCCACTGCCCCCCACACCTTGCAGGCTGCTCTGGCTCCCAAAGGGGAAGGGGTTGGTGAAGGGGGGGCTCCGTGCCCTTGCGGGCCCCCCAACGCGACTTGAGGTGGGGCTGAACGGATCTTCATCATCCACCTGGGAGTACCGCTTTCTCCTGCAGTGGCCAGGGGTCACAGGCATGGTCATGGTCAGATTGAGGGTCAGTTATTGCAAGGTCAGGTGGTCATGGTCGACATTCAGGTCGTGCTTCTTGTTATGATCTATGGAGCATTGGGGATTCGGGTTAATAATGAGTGATGGGAGGAAGAGCAAGGCTTTAGAGAAGAGGGTTGTGGGGGTGAGGATATTTGCAAACAGGCAGGGAAAATTTAACGATTCGTCACAATTCACGGTCACGATTCAATTACCTCTATTTTTTTTGTGAGATTTTTACGGTCTCATTCTTTCGTCCCGGTTGTACACTCGTCTGTGCTGTTAGTGGAAATGTAATTGGAGCAAATTATTTGCACATGCTTTTGCGTGAACTATACATAATGGATTACTTGCACGCAAAATCCAATGCATCTATCATGTGAGTACTCATATCTGTCATGGGAAGGTCAGTGTATGGTTCAGGGTTTGGTTTACGCTTCAGAGTTGAGGTTAGTTTTTGGGGTCAGGGTTAGATTTAGGGTTATGGTCAAAGTCAGAGTTCGATTCAAGGTTAGGTTCAAGGTTAGAGTTAGGGACTTATACATTGTAGTCACACTAGGTATGGGAGATTAAGAGTCAAGGTGACCTTCAGGGTCCGGGTTATGCATGTATGTTGAACTTCTTTCGCACTTTACATAGCCAACAGCGCTAATCGGAGGAGCGGGAAGGGTTAGGTATAAGAGTTAAGAGTCGGTGTGGGATTGCGGTGGTCATGTCAGCTGCGGAAGGACTGGGGTTAGAGGTTGGGACCCCGCGTGCTTGTGTGTGCGTGTGCGAGTGGTACCTGCTGCGAGAGGGCTGGCTCGTGTGCGGGATGATGGCGATGAGCACGGTGAGTGAGCAGGCGCTCACGATGGAGAACACGCACAGCCACAGCACGCCCCTCACCCCGTCGTAGCAAACACCCTGCAGCGCCTCCAACAGGTCCTAGGGGTCCACAGCGCACAAAGGTCGCGCTCTAAATGCCGGCGAGCCGGATTGTCGTCGTCGGATGGCTTCAGCAGTCTCGTTGCCGAGCTGGCAACGCCAATATCCTGGATTTGAGTTGCGGCTGTCAGCAAAACGGCGATTAAAACCTGTCCCGCAAGCGGAGATGGTTGACGGTCTTAGTCGGGTACATGACCGCACGAAAGATAACTGTGGAAAATTCCCGACTGTGGTTGCGCGATGAACGTTAATGTCTGCACCTGAGAGGTAGCTCTGTGGTATCCGTGCTCTAACACGAAGGCTTGCGTCGCTTTGTGAGATATCCGAACATGTGCTTGTATAATGGTACCCACCCATCCCCCCTCCCACACCCCCCGCCCTCCACCTGGTGTATGTTGTGGCAATCGACGAGCGCGGAGAGCTTCTGCAGTGTGAGGTCGGTCGAGTTGAGGTCATGCTGCAGCGCCAGCAGCTGGTCCTGCGCGCATTCACCAAGGGGTTAGCAGCATTCACCGTCTCCATCGTCGTCATCAACATCGTCGGCGATGATCTATCCACTGCTGCATGAAGGGTCTCCTTCACCGAGCTGTGGTCGTCGCTCTCGCCGTCCTGCGATGTGACGCTCCGTCGGGAGCGGTGGAGGCGTACTCTCTCGCGCATTTCCACCCTTGGCTGCCACTTCGTCGTTAAGCCTCGACGTCATCCCTTCTCGCCATGACCGCGTGCTGCCCATGCCCACTTAACCCTTTCCCATTCTGATGACGTACGTGTAAGTCATCCGAAAAACTCAAATAAAATAACTTTATCGGTACGTCTGTCGACCTGAAGATGTACCGAGGCTTCCACAAGGACATGCGGGAGGGTGTGTGGCAGTTTGGCACCAGCTATGCTAGAGTGCGGTCGTGTCGCTACAGTTCTCTGCGGTGATAAAAATGTTTTTCAAAACAACGGCGCTACGCTTCTCTAAATAAAATTAACGCTAAACCGCTCGCGCGTTTCCGAGATTCAGCGGTGAACGGGACACCCACCCTGCAACTTGCAGACGTCTCAGAACGGGAACGAGTAAGTTTACTTAATCATCGTGATTACAGGAAGAGGAACAAGTGGATTCGAGAGACATCACTTCCTCCACCCCCAAGAATATTACCGCAGGACTTAAAGCGTCCCCTTCCTTGTGTGGCGCACGTCGAATGTCAATTCCTTGGCGTGTGGCGGTTGCATCTCCCTTCCCGTCAAGGACAATGGTTTGCGATCTTCGGTTGTCACTTCACCTTAATGGACGGCATGATGAAGCGGGAAATCTGCAGCATCTTCTGGACGATGGACTGCATGTCGGAAATGGCACGCACGCTGGCCGTGACTTTCTGAAATGAAAATTTGGAAAGGAGAATTCAAGCAATTGTGAGGAAATTAGTTCTTATATATATATACACACCTCCATGTCTCTTCACATATAAATAATGTAATTTAGTCCATTAGCTAATCCGCTTTACGAGACCAAAATTATCAAGCAGGAAAACACTCGACTGGTTTCGACCCTCGGTCTCATCAGCATCGCTCAAACAGGTTTGAGCAGTGGCACAGGCATTAGCGCGCTATGCGACGGACTGGGCGCCCCAAGTTACATTCCTTGTCAAGGTTATGATCGATGGCAAGATCTGAAACTGGTCCTGGGCCTCACCAAAGTAAACAGCACAGCGTGGCGAAGTATGGTCAAACAGTCCCTTCCACTAACATGGCATGGGGAGACAATCACTACAGCAGTGGAATGACAAAGAGGCGGTAAAATATTATCAGGACCTTTATAAATAAAACTGTTATGTTTTGTGCTTTTCATGTACTCCCAGTTGGCCCAACGTTGCATATTTACTGGGTTGTTGATGTGTTTGTGGATTGGACCGCGCGGTGTTGTTCGGCACGATGTCCGACGTTTTGTTCCCATGGCACAACCCGAAAACACACTGGAGAGCTTGGACTGCACAACGGCAGAAAGCTACGTGGGAGTGCCGTGACGCCGTCACATTTCACAAGCTCGACTCAATGTTTTCATCGCGAGCCTCAGTGGCCAAGAGTTGCTAATTTCCAATGTTCCGAATGTTGCTGCAGTGGAAGTCACAACGCCGCTGATATTTTTGGTTCTGGCAGTGGCGAGACAGCATCCTCACCGCCCCCCCCACCCACCCACCTCACCACCCCCTGTCACAAACCCAGCGTCTCAGTGTGGCACAACGGGCCCCTTTTTTTGGAGTGTGAGAACAATTTGCGGTCCAGCTGTGCCTGGACGTTTTCCAATTATGCGTGGCAGGTAGGCAAGTCTTGTGACCGTATTTACATTTTTTTTCAAGAATTAATTAAGGCCATTTTCAGTCGACACTGTCTCTGCCGAGATAAGACGAAGCGGTACGTTTTGAGTGTCAGCGTCTTGTAGAAAAACCGAGACAGGAACTTCGTTTAAATGTTGTGGGCGCCATGGTGGCGAGTTGCTCACTCCCTCGCTTGGTAGAGGTCATAGGTTCGATCCCGACCCTGTCACCTATATATTTGCATGTTTTCTCTGCATGTTTTCTCTGCTAAAAATGTTCACGTGATAAGCCGCTTCATTGCACAATCATTTGTGATATCCAGGCCACTTTTGAAACAGAGCTATATAGCTCAGTGGGCCTTATCTGGTAAAATTAAAATAGTTCATAGTTTAATTCATAGTTTAACACACCACTGAATGTGGTGAGATGGGCAGCAGGGGCTCTGCGGCACACCGCTCAGATGTGAAATGCTACGACATTTTTACAGTGCATGTTTTGTTTTGCAATCGCGTTTTCACAATGAGGAAGGGTAAACGGAGGTAGCCGTGGGGGTGTCGGCGGCATGGGAGAGTGGAATTGTACGGGGTGGAGTGGGGTGGGGGTTTCATACCTTGCACAAGGACCCTTGCCAACAACCACTCTATGCTACTAAACTTCACTGCAGCCTTGGTGGGGGCCCGGGGAATTAAGGAGTCGCCTAAATGTGATCATCCGCCACTCACGTGACATTGTATTGGAGAGTACAGATATTTGCATTCTATCTATGCGGGTCTGGGAGTCTCTATGCGAGCCTAACCGACTTCACGCACATCGCCGACCATTGCCCCACACATGCTTTTACAGGAGGTACAAATTTAATCCATCTGGCGAGTTCAGATGGCCATCGAACGGCCTCTCGAAATTCAACACGCAGTTATCGGTCGTCTCTCATCACGCTAACACCTCTACCTCTCGTCTACATCTCTTCTGTCATCTCGCTTGCCCTTACGCCTTCAACGGAGGATGGGCAAAAGTCCATGAAGTTTCTCCTGAAGACCTCTCGTCCTGGGCAGGAGACCTCAACATTGGCATTAGCTCCTGAACATGCTGCCAACAGCATCATGGGCAACAATAGAAACGAGGAGATACATGAAAAAGGGGGATGACCCGCCTCCCCACTCACCTCCCGTCTTCTGCCCCCCTCCGTCCCCATCCCCGTCAATAATTTACGTTCTCAGTGCTCCTGCTGGACCAGCACCACGGCAGGGGGGGGGAGGGGTGGGTTTTTAGGCATACCTCCTGCAAAGGGCCGGCCGAGGATGGCGGGCAGTAGACGTAGTACTCGACGACGTCTGGAGGAGACACGGCCACAGAGGGAGGGAGGCGGCGACGGTCAGCACTTTCAAGGGGGCGGGGGGGGTACGTGGCGGAGCTCAAATAGGGAAAATTCTGTTGTCAATTTCCACCGCAATTTGACTCAAATAAATGTTCAACGGAGGAGTAAGAAGAGACACGGCTCAAGTAAAATGCGCAATTTTACGGCGGGGATGCAAGTTCACCGTAATGCTGGCAACAAAACACAGGCGGACAGGACAGAAACAGCAACACTGAGGCACAGCCCAGGATGAAGCAACCGGGGAGCCCAGTACGAACAACAATCGCCACCACGACAAAAACAAAGAGCCCCAGGGACAGCCGGGGTGGCCGGAGCAGCACCACCGTTGAGTTCCAGGGCATAGTGTTGGCTCCTTCAGGCCAGGCCCATGGGTAGAGTTGCCACCTGTCCTGGTTTTCCCAGGATCGTGCTCTTGTTGTGGGCAGCTGCGGTCCTAGGAAATCTGTCAGTGTCCTCAAGATATTAAATATCCTGGTTTGTGACAGTTGTGTAAAAACATTGATACTCCTGCACCACTCGAGATGATGCATTCGCATGCAGTTCTCCCATGACATGTCCTGTTGTTTTTGAACCCCTGAGGTGGCATCCCTACCCATAGTTGCGGGCGGGGTGAGGGGGGGATGCATCCGGGGCCCCAAGAGCCTACCGAACAGGCTCACCTTTGGGTGCCCTTCTTGATTCCTCCGTCTTGTTCACGATGTACTCTTGTGGGGACATGCAAAAGTCACTTGCAGCCTGAATGATACAAATGACAAAGAAACACGCGACGATTAAATAAGTTGAGTATATGAGCGGATTCAAGTATTACGATAACAAAAAATATATTTTAAAAGTGGGTAAAAAAAAGCAGAGGGATTGGCCTCTGTCATAATATGGAATTTCCACCACTGGCTCTCGACTGACGATTGAGCGAGCACCACCACATGCTCGTTAGATGATGACGCTTTGGCTTGATGAGTGAACAAGTGAGTGAGATCACAGAAGCTTCTGATCAAATCACCTAGAATGCGGTGGACCTCAGGCGATATTGGAAAGCCAAGCAAAGGTTCAGCCCAGATACTGTTCGGATGGGCGACGACCGTACACTACAGACGTTATAGAGGTCAGGGTGTGGGGGGGGGGGTCTACATTGCGGGCAGCACGAGGCAGTGCAGGAAAAAAAATATCTATCTTGTAAATGCCTCTCCCACATCTATGCCCCCCCCGCCCACCTTCACAACACCTACACTGAGCAGCTTGACAAAGTTTCGCCAAATAAGGACCCACGACTTGCACATCGTAGTTACTAAGTACCGATCCATTGAATCGTCGGCCATCTTACGCTTTTATGCGAGTGACACGGAGGTTATACGAGACAAGTGGAAATTCGCTTATTTTTGTCACCCACAATCCTCGACGGCGCATTTTTTATACGGTGTCGGCTTGCTGCGCTGAACATTCTTGCAATGCGCTCCGCCCCACTCGCTTGCCATCACGTTGAACAAAGACGGTCACCGCACGGTGCGCTTTTTGATGTGCTTCTGTGGCCGTCTGGAACGCTCTTCCTTCCAATATTAGGAAGTCACTGACTGGGGCTTCGTAAATCTAGATTGAAAACCAATTTCATTAAAACTGCTTTTCGTGTTTAGTTTGTTGTCCTTCCCCCACAGCTCTTGATTAGCGCGGTTGGATACATACCATGCGAAGTTAATCAACATACATCCGTTCCCGTCACAGTCAACACGATGTCTCCCATACGCGCGTTTGTTCTGCAAGCCATGCGTTCCTCTTTCTCTCGCTGCAAATTTTCCAAGAAAGGCACAGAACACCTCTTCCACGTTCTTTTGCGCACTTCTGAACTTTCATCTTTCCGTGCCGATGCTCACGTCCGTGATCCACGTCACAGCAGATAGGCACCAATAAAAGATAAAATGGTTCGAGTGCTTCTGGAAAGCAAGCGGTTCTGGAAACCAAATGCTCGCAAGTTCCGCGTCTATACATGTAAAACTGGCTGCATGATGAAAACGTCGGCGTTATTTGCGGCGACGCAGAGGCGTGCCACCAGCGTAACTCGGAGAGAGAAACGAGTTTTCCTGTGCAAAGGAGAAGAGGGTCTGGAGCTCTGGCTCCCCAGCAAGATGCTTATCTCTACTCCAGGGCTGCAGCAGCAAGATAACTGGCCGTTATAAATATTTACATGTTTCAGCGATAAACACCCCCGAATTTGTTTTGCATTTCGGTAACTCTCTGCGAGTGAGACTATCCTCGTCTCTCTTGAGTTCTCACCTGGCTTTAAAAAATGTACTTGAAACTATAAACATGACACCTAGATAATGGGTTTTCATGGGCATTGCGCATTGGCTAACACAGGTTTTATTTCTAGATCAACTGCACTCATGAAAAGTAAAACTATGGCACGATGAACGTGTTCCATAAATATATTTTTTACAAGATCCTGGCTTGGGTGGGTTACTATAAACATCAATATTGACGTTCAAGAAATGTCAGCGCAAGGCTTGGGCAGGACACTTCACAAGGAGGAAATGATGGCCGGTGGCCGACAATAACGCCCAACGCGGAGCAATGAGATAGGCTCACGCGCGCAGGACGGATCGTTGCCGCGCGAGACCGTGAGAGATGGTGACGGCTTGGGGAGCAGGGGACATCATCCAGCAGTGGATAGATCAAGGCTGCTGCTGCTGATGGTGCCGCGTATTTTGCGCCAAGAGGTCAGACAATGTGGACGGGCTTGTCGCCAATTTGGGTGAACGCGAGTGAGGGTGTGCGGTATCTGGAGGAATGCCACCATCGTTGCCGCTTAGTCCCGCTTCTTTAACAGACACTTATTAGCGACACACGCTGGTCACGCCCGGCGGAATCTTAATTAAGACGCCTCTGGGAAAATTCCCGTCGCCACAATACGGTGGCGCGCACCCAGCTGTGCCCCGTCCCAACGACGTGTAACCTCGCTCTCGGGCCAACCCCCCCTCCCCAGGACACGGTGCTGGAGAGAGCTGCAGAGCAAGTGCAGCAGAGCAATAGACTTTGCCACAATGCCCACTGCAACGCACCGCATAGCCCTGTAGGCTCTATGACAACCTGTTGAGCATGGTGGTCGCCCATCCAAGCACTCTGTGTACCTTCCGGGTGATTTGGTCACCGTCTACCGAGTTTTACCCAGTACATATGAATGTACTTGTGTCGCCTGCAAAGCGATACTTCTTACAGAGTTCTCCTTTTAACAATTTTTTTTTGCGTGAATGCGTGACATGCATGGCTGGAGCAAAAACAAAATAAGATAACCTTGGAGAAGGTCACGCTCTCAGCGTTGTCAGGCTGGTGGCCGAACCGGGTTGCGCAGCCCTGTTAGCAATCTCAGTCGCTCTCGCTAGGCATTGTGGGTTGCTCCCAGTGGCGATGACCGATTGTGTGCAACGACGTTCATTAAGATGACAAGGACGATAACGATGGCTTCAGCAGAGCCTAGCTTGCCCGAGTGCTAACTCAGAAGCTAGAACTCAAGAGATTGGTATATTTGGGAGCACGAGTTTGCTAGGAGGGTGCAAAGACTGCCAAGTCGAATCCCAATTGAGTAATTTGCGGTGCAATTTTCGAATTTTGGGAAATATGGGCCGTGACGCCGGCCCACAATGGCGCTTACTCTTGCGACTGATGATGGGGGATCTTTAACGTCCACTGTGAAGCTGACGGCGCGTGGTATTATTGCGGCTATTACAACCGCGGTATTAATCAGGGCGCCCGCTGGAATCGAACCGTGAACCTCTGAAACAAGTGGCGAACGAGCTGCTGCTGGGCCGCGTAACCACTCCCCTCCTTTCTGTCCGTGTCTGATGTTGGCGAGGAAGTGGGCAGCTGCAAGCTAACGGCTCGATGAAACAGCCGCTCTTTCTGGCGTGCTCTCGGGTTTGTTGCCGCGCATCGTTCCGCACTACGGCCCGACGTTTCGCTCCACATGCTGGAAGCTTCTCCACGTCGAACACTGTGCCAAACGCCGCGCAGTAGCAACCCCAAAAACACATCGGCCAATGGTACGGCACAACCGCTAAACCAGACAATCACACGGGCAGGATGATGAACGCCAACGAGACGAGACTCACCACGGCGCTGCTCATCTGCAGGCCCAGGGATCCCCAGGCCACGATCAGCATCACCAACCCGGTGAGCACAAGTCTGCAAGAGACAAGGACAAAGATCCCCCATGTAGCCGACACAGAGTGCTGGGGCAAGTACTGTTTGCGAGCGACTATTAAGGCCGGAACAACGCACGAGGCGGTGGCATGACCAGCACCACGCCTGGTCACCTTCGGCTCCCCGGTGTTGATGCATTGCACACGGCCCAAGGTACTCGTTAAGACTCAGTCGACCTAGGGGATAGTGCTTGGATGGGTGACCACCATGCACATGCACGCCAGGTTACGATAGGTTGTGGCGGCGCTGGGCTATGTGGTGATCAGCAAAGGTCAGTGCAGCAAAATCCATTGTTGTACTGTGCTTCTATGCAACCATCACCTTTACCAAAAGTATTTTTTATTTTATTTTTCTACCTATGTGACTTTACCGAAAGAACCAAACACTATGTATAAAAGTAGCTTATCCAAACACTACAAATGGCCGTAGACACACACACGCAAAATTCAGTTGTCACCGGCATATGCTGAAACACCAAAACGTTTGCCAAGGTCAACACTATTGCTGCGCTGTAAGCAGGACTAAACCGCTCTGCATCTGAGACTACGGACAGACGGCGACACGCGGCGAGGTGTGCGAGGTGCTCAGAATGGAATAGCTGCCCGTCGTGTGGGGGGGGGGGGGGATGCGGGAAAAGGAGGTGGGCGTGTGGATTTCCTCTGCGAGTGCACGTCTCGAAATGTGACAACTCCCCGCACCGCACACGGCCTGTCGTTCGGGGCCTGAAATGGCTGGCCGATCAGATCGTCCGTTGTCGTCACTGGGGGCAAATCGTCTGCCCAGGGCAAAACCTCCGGCCTAGCTTCGCGGCACGAGCCGATTGGTTGTTTCTTTCTTGCAGCAGTGATTTTGCTGCACCGTCCACTGAGACCCCCACCGCATGGCCCCCGGTGGTTGCCAACCCCAGGGGTCCATCCCCCCAGAGGCGGCGTCTTATTAAGCGTTCCTTTACAGGCCCCATTGTCGTAGCGTTCCAATTGGTGCAATGTAAAGAGCGCGGCGCGGAAAGGAATGCAGTGAAGTTCACTCGTGACCATATGCTTTACAGCTCACGCCGAAATATGACCATTTGCAGCCCTTCATCAATCCACTGCTGGATGAAGGCCCGGAAAAGGGGGGGGGGTTGTTGTTTGGCCATACTTCACCACGCAGGTCAGTGCGTGTTGCTGTAGCTGTGACTCGGATTTAAAGTCGAGTTGCCAGATTCATCGCACGGGGTGTTCCCTCCGCTGCGCCGCCACTTCACCCCGCACCACTTCATTCACACGACTTAATTTAGTTCCTTGAATCATGCAAAGGGCAGCAGGGGAATTATTTGATTGTGACCTTTTGCACAACTGTGTTTTTTAAAGCAATAAATAATAACATAACATTTTTAAACAACACCTATGACTTGCTGATGCTCTGGGCACTTTTCGATGTTACTTCTTAAAAAAATAAAAATTTCATTTTGCTGGGTGGCTGAACCACAACTGTAATGAATTTGCAAAGCTTCACGGCAATAATCCCCCGTTTCACCCGCGGCGGCGGCGATGTCGTCGTGCTCACCGCGGTTGTCGTAGGTCGGCACAAATGTCCCTTGGGTCGAATCGGCGGTTTGTGCGGCCCCAAGACGGGGGAGACGCTTACGCACGCGAGTGGGCGGCCGACGCTTTATCTCCACTTCCCCTCGCCCGTGACCACGGCAACAGTAACCACAGAGTGGCCACATTCGGGAATCGATTTGCCGCACTGACGCGAGCGTTTTGAGCTCACTGCTCCGCGAACAGAAGCAAATTAAACTAGGGAAGGGGCGTTTTCTGTACATCCCCATGCAAACTATTAAAACTAAACCATTCTTATTTTACCAGGTAAGACTCACTGAGCTAAATAGCTCTCTTTCAGAAACGACCTGGTCACAAATGATAGCCCAATGAAGTGGCTTATCACGTGGAAATTTATAGCAGCCACATACTCTTTAAACGCATGTTTCTAAATGTAGAAGGAAAAACCGGAGGACCCGGAGAAAAATCCACACGACCACGGGGAGAGAGATGTGCAAACTCCAAATATACACGCGTCAGGGTCGGGATGAAACCCACGACCTCCTGTACGCGAGGCGAGGTAGTTAACATCTCGCCAGCGTGTGCCTGGGTCATCGCGTGCAGGACACGACTGTCGCTGTAAAACCTTGAGGGGGGGGGGCTGGAAATTCCCGCTCAGTGCCGACAAAGTGAAACGAAACTGTGGCACAGGCAGGCGCAAAACAAAGCAATGCAGAGTGACCACAGAGGAAGAGGGAAGATGCTGACTGCAAAAAAAAAAAACAAGGTGTATTGGTCCCCGAGACATGCACCACGTGGAAAATGGGTAAAGGTGCAGCCCTGCAAGTTGCTCGCTCACACACCACTGCTGGTGGAAGGGTATTTTAGCTAAACTTCCCACGCTGGCCACTACATCTTGGGAGGTGTAAAATTATGATACAGCTGCATATTAACACTCCGTGGGAGCAAGGCCATGTGCGCTTGTATCCAAAGTAGTGGGTTTATAGCAGACGTTCCCCCTTGCCTCCCCCTTTCAGGATAATTTAAGAATGGCGTTTCCTATATCAGAGTTGTGCTTACACAGATCGTCCCCGAGTTACAATGGTCCGGCTTACGATATTTTTACTTACGATGGGGTCCTCGTAACGCATCTCCATCGTAAGTAGAGGACTACCTGTATATAAGTTGTGCGTCAAAACAGCTTTTACTGTAATATATGGGTCTCTATGCGAGTCTATGGGTCTCTGCACGAGTGTGTACCGGCATATATATGCAGGGCAATCATTTCTCACCGAATAGTTTCTGTGTGGTCATTAGACCAGAGGGGGGGGGGGGGGGGGGGGGAATGTGACTAGCCTGCCAGAGCCACGGCCACGATGAGAGGTATACTGGATGTGGAGCGCCGGGCGCGCGTACCCGACAAGCAGGCAGCGCGAGCGCTTGGCCAGTCCCAGCAGCACGAGCAGGCAGAGCAGCAGCTGCACGATCAGCAGCAGCAGATACGCGAGCCACCTGCCACCGGCACGACATCACCACAAACATACGCATCGAAAAATCAGCTCAAGCCTCCCCGTAAATCACGTGACTTCGGTGTGGCGACACACATCCTCAATCGTTCCCCTCTCCCCGCCGCCCTCTGTGAAAACAGACGCTGCTCCTTCCGCAGCAGCTCACTTCTGCACGCTCATTCCTTCTCTCTCTTCCCTCCCCACTCATCATCACCCTTGCCTCCACGACATAATCGCCCGGTCATTCCTTCTCTCTTTCCTCCCACTCGGCACTCCTTCATTCCTGCTGCTCATCTTCAGCCGAGCATTCATTGTCTGTTGTGGGGACCTCCGTCACGGCATCCCTTCTCCGTTCCCTTTTCTTTTCCCATGAATCGCATCCTTGACTCTACTCCCGTTGCCACGGGTAAAAGGTTTTCTACGGTGTAAAATCATTGCACGTACACGGTGACATCTTGGTAATCGAATGCTCAAATGAATCGATCATCCCTGCTCCGATTTATAACTGGTTTGTTTGGGTGAGGTCGTGTAAGTAATGATCTAAACAGTTTTAACCATAACCCTCGACCACCCAACAGAGCCAAACATGCCAAACGATTTGGTTAAAGAAATTTCAACAATTTTCAACTCAGCTCTGCTAGCGTGATGGTACGAGAGCAACGACGACTCACCGGTAAAACTCGGCAGACACCACGAGATCGTGAAACTTCCGGATCTCCTTCGATCCCGCAGTCGGGTCGGTCCAGAAAGAGATTCCGACGAGCTGCGCCAGGGCCACCTTGAGCTGTTCCCTGGCCTGCACGACGAGCCCCGAGAGGTTGGCGTACGGGATGGCCCCCTCCAACGCGGCGAGGTCATCCGTCACGCTGCCGTCCAGCTGCCCCTCCGTGCCCTGCACCTGCGGACAGGACGTGGGCGGATGCGGGATTTGGCCGGACGGCACCACCGCAAAGGACGGTGGTGGTCGGGGGGTGGCGGCGGCGGCAGGCGTGCGGCGAGGAGGGCGGCGGTGGAGGCGTAAAAATGGGCACGGCAAGCGGGGTGGGCGCGGCAGCGGTAGTGCCGTCACATGCGGTGACAGCGCGATACGTAGCATGGGTACGTGGGCTTGTGATACGTAGCATGGATATGCGTGCGTGTGATATGTAGCACGGTTATAAGTGCATGTGTGATACGTAGCACGGATACGTGGGCTTGTGATACGAAGTATGGATATGTGTGCGTGTGATACGTAGCATGGATATGCGTGCATGTGATACATAGCACGGCTTTACGGGCGTGTGATATGTAGCACGGGTATAGGTGCATGTGTGATACGCAGCGCGGGTATATGGGAGTGTGATACGTAGCGCGGTTATATGGGCGTGTGATATGTAGCGCGGGTATATGGGCGTGTGATATGTAGCACGGGCATATGGGCGTGTGATACGTAGCACAGGTATATGAGCGTGTGTAATACATAAGCATGAAAACTATAAGCAGACCTCCTTTCTGTGTCTCCATGCATAAATAAGTTTTAGTCATTGGCCTATTGAATATTCAGATAATATTCATCTGGAAAGGCCAATGGCTATTAAATATTGTATTTACATGCAGAGACACAGAGCAGAGTTCTGCTTGTATGTGCATTTACACGTATAATAACGCTGCACAACGACACATCGTGATATTTAACAAAGGGGACTCAGTGCAACAAGGCTTCACAGTAAAGCCACGCTCTGTGCAAAGTGTACACAGGCGCACAAATTGCCGTACCTAAACAAGTTATCACGAGTTCTGGCACATGCTGCGTGCTGTGTTCAGCGGTAAGCCACATTCGCCACTGCCTGGTTGCGTAACACACACTGTGTGTGCTGTGTTTTTTTGTCCACGTTATTTACAGTTTTGAGTTACAAGCGAAGCAGGAAATTCAACTTGCGGTGGGTGGGTCTAGCAACCGGCCGCAGAATGCTGGGATACGTCTGAGTATGTCCTGGTGCATGGATGCATCGGTCAAAATACATTCTAGAAACTGCCCGACGATGCTGGTTGTAACCACCAGCGTAACGCTTGTACCCAATTGTTAAATGTGTGTGGATCGCAATCCAACATGAACTGCTGAAGTGGTAATAAATTGGCGAGTTTTATTGTGTTGTTGGTTTAGTTATATCCAACTCATGTGTGAAAAAGATGTAAGTTCAGACCTCCATTTTGTGCCTATATAAATACAAACATCTGTTTATTCCGTTGTCCTATTGGCATTCCAGACCAATAATATCCAGCGGCATTCATTTTAAACAAGTGAATCTCTGCACTGTTTTTGACCTTCTGGGTCCCATCAGTATAGTCAACTTTGAACAAATTTCTGCTGAATTACCATGTTATTGACAAGAGCCACTCCTTCTCAACAACGGGACACTGTTCATGGTGAAAAGCGACGCGAGAGATGCATTTTGTTCGACTGGCATCGGACAACAATGGCGTGATTTTCAATTTAAAGCTTTCGTGACTGCAGGGATTCATATTCTTGGTTCTTTCGGTAAAGTCTTTAACAATGGCGTGGTTCGGAATTTCGTACCTACGCAGAAATTAATTTGCTTACAAACTTCTGGTGAGACTTTACCGAAAGAACCAAGAATAATAATGGCGTGGTTCGGAATTTTGTAACTACTCAGAAATTAATTTGTTTACAAACTTCTGGTGAGAACACGGCCACCGAAAACCGAACGCATGCGCCGGCGCAAACTCTGTAGCGGAAGCACACGAAAGATTGAAGAGCGCTTAAAAAAGCGGACGGGGTACGGGAAGGAATTCAACGGATGCAACACACCGTTCTGTGCGCTCCTACCAGAAGGGTCACTTTGGAGATGGTCTGGTTGACCCGTGCCAGCGAGCCGGACAGCTGACTGACGCCGAAGTGCGCCTCTCCGTTCCCGTAAAACCCCACAGCGATGGCCGCGCTGCGTACGGCAAGACACACGCACACACACGCGTGCGCACACACACACGCGCACACACACACACGCGCGCACACACGCGTGCGCACACACGCGTGCGCACACACACACGTGCGCGCGAACACAGGTGCGCACGCAAACACGGAAGGTGGGGGACGGTTTCAAATATCATCAATAACGTGCGCGCATGGGCAAAGGCGAAGAGAGGGAGTGGGGATAGCAGGCCATTGTCATGTACCCGTAGCAGAGAACGGGAGTCAACCGTGGTCATGAGATGGCGTCAAAGTCATCTCCAATCTTCAAGTTAAATAACAGTGATAAGTAACCCTACGATTAGGGATAGTGAACCCACCCAGGCTTTTTGTAATCTTGGTCAAGACTAACACGCTAACTGCCAACATACTTACCAGGTATGAGAAAAGAAAAACGACCCACTGCCAGCTGGGTGGTTAAACTACTACAGGGTGAAGAGGGGTTAAAAAAAAATAGAATTCTGACCCCAGTACAGCATTCTCTGCCAGGGGGGGGGGGGGGGGGGGGGAGGCAAAACACTCTTACATTGGTGCACAGTGCAAAGCTAGCGTGCCCGCCAAAGGGTTTCTCTAGAGGCACCGGGTAAAACGTCAAATGAGGCCCTCATTGACACCCCATCGACTTTTATAAGGTCCTTCTCAGATCCGAGGTGCAGGGCAAAGCCACCCCCATCACTCGGCAGTCCTGGCGAGTGGAGACATTTATCTTGGCACCAGTCTCTAAGCTGGCTGAGCAACTATAGCTGGCATCGGCGCTGGCAATATTTACAGTCGCGCATACGGCCGCGGATAAAACATTTCTTTTTTAACTGGGGAAAATGACATCCCATAAAAAACGACTGCTCCTGTAAACACCACATTTACCACATCTAGAGTGACGGTAATTACACCGGGAAGTGAAATTCTACACGGGGCCTTGGCAGATTGTAAAGTTGAGCCCTGCGGTCTCTATTAAACGCCTGCATGCCAGAGAGCTTGTACCGAGTTAGCGGTCAGGTTTCCCTGTAATTCAGAAAGCTAATGTACCGTATTCTCCAGATTATGAAGCACCATTCCCCTCTGTATTTTAAAGTAAGTGTGGTGGGGTGTGTATTATAATCCAGTAGGTGTGCGTATGCACGTGACTAAAGTTGTATAACTTTATTGACATCGGGCATACATGTTTTTTTAATCCAGAGAATACGGTAGTCGTCACCAAATCCACCAAGTGCCCGGAAACCACATCACCACCATCGTCATCGTAACCATTTATTTATTTATTGTTGACACTGTACCCTGCACAAGCATAAAAACAATGCCCCAAACTGCCAACGGGGAATCACAACATAGCACAAGCAGGCAGAAGCACACATGAACGTAGAAACACAAACTTTGCATACAATTGATGCGGCAGGGATGTTAATGGTTAGGAAACTGCACTTGCGATCCATAGGTTGCCAGTTCGATTTCCAGGTGCAGCAGTAGAAACAATGGTGCAAGAATCTCAAATCCACCACCCTCTCGCCACCAACCCCATTCCACCTCTGGTATCTTTGTCCACCCAGAAGTATAGATGGGCATGCCAGTCAGTTGATAAGACAGGTCACGTGTGGTGGTGTTACAAGTGGGTACTCTCACCTCGTACAAGAAGTCTAGGCCGGCATTGAATATTAGGCCAAAATACCCTCTCTGGAGGGAGGGGCTCTGTAAATTAATTGCACGCTTGTCTGTCTGTATGACTGTCTGATTGTGCAACTATTTGCACAACTGTCTAATTGTGTCACCGTTTGATTTCGTCTTTGTCCGATTCGTTGAGCCCTCTTCCATTTCATGACAATCTCATTCCCCAATTGACCGGACGATTCACCGATTCTCCGATTGCATGACCATCCGATTCCCCGATTTGACTGGGCGATTCCCCGGTTCCCCGATCGTTCTATCGACGGGCCTGAGTGAGCGACAGATGACGCGACGCCGCCCCGCTCACCAGCAGATGATGGCGCAGGTGGTGACGCAGCACGTGGCTTTGCGCGACGGATCGCTCTTGAGGTGCGACGCCCCGCGGCAGCACAACACCATGAAGTGCACGGCGAGGAAGAGCAGCGTGAGCAGAAGGCAGCCGCCCGCCAGGCACAGCAGCAACAGCAGCGCCTGCCACAGCAAGCGCGCAACAGACGGAGAGAGTCAGCTGAAAGCGCAGTCAACGTTCCTCACGTCCCACAAGCCAATGTCCTCGACACCAGCACTTGCTGTCGTCATTGTCGTTTTTGTCATCATTGCAATCACCAAAACTATCATCACCAGTATATTAATCTAGCATCATCACCGTCATCGCCTATATTATTGTCGTCAATGTCATAACCACCATCATCATGATCGTCATATCACCGTGATCATTGTTAATGAGTACTGTCGTTATCAACGTAACCAACCAAATTACCATCAAATTCATCTTCACTATCATCATCTTCATCGATATCAGTCATTGCCACCACTGTTATAGTCATTGTTATCATTGTAGCCATCATCCTAATCATCGTCGCCATCATCCTAATCATCATAACCATTGTCATCATCACGGTCATCATCATAGGAGGGAGGTGGGGGGGGAGTGGGGACCCAGGAGGGGGTGTGAATTGTACACACCCACGACCCACACATCCAAGACATTCCATTCCACCACCAACAACAACCTCCAACACAACTGTCTAGGCTCTACTACTACCCAGACATCTCCACTGGGCACAAACCCTCAGGGATTAGCTAAACAAGATCCACGTAATGAATGATTCACCAGCCTACCACCTAGCAGAGACTCTCACGGTTCTGGCGGTTGAGTCGAGGTCGCAGAGCCAGTTTACTTGTGTTGTTTTTAACCTTATTTCGTGTTGTTTCACATTCATTGTGCTGTGTTTGGCCAAACTTAGTATTGTCACATTTGCACATGTACAGCCCTTGTCAGTCCACTGCTAGAGGGGGGGCCTCCTCACGCCGCGCAGGTCATTGCAGGTTATTTGACCATACTTCACCACGCAGGTCAGTGTGGGTTGGCGAAGGTGGAGGACATAAAAACGGTGGAGCATAAAAGTGCAGTCCAACAATAGATGTACCTGCCCTGCTGCCGAGCACTTGGCTCCAAGGCTGGCTGTATGCAACATCTTGTATTGTGCACGACGGTTACCTTCCAAAGTCTGACGACATGGGCGCATTCCAGGTTGCTCACTTCATTACGACAGGGCTACGCTACTGTTTTGAAACGGAACACTGTACAACATTGAAGTTGCAAGGTGGAGCGGTGGTTAGCACACTGTGCTAATGCACTCGGTGACCCAAATTCGGTTTCCGGCCACAGCTTACATCAGTGATAACTCAGAAAACATGGAACTTTTGGCCCAACGCTGGCCCAATGTTGGAATGTCTACTGGGGACCAGTATCTTAACTGTTCATGCAACTATATTTCCACCCCCTCCCCCTTCACTGACCAAACAACCCCGATTAAAACCGATACAAAGCAGAATAATTTTACAATCTACCAAGTAATTGACAAATCGCTGTAAATTATGAGTCCCGTAGTATGTGTGCCTCTGCTAAGTTCTCTTCCAAGAGCAGGTCCATGGCTAAGAATTCTCTCCATCTCACCACTCAACAAAACTCGACACTCGGAGTTCGAGTCGTGACGAGGTAGTGAGGTGGTTTCCCCTTTGCCTTAACTCAACAGTGTTGTGTTTTATAGCCGTCACCGTAGTTTCAGATGGCCTGTTCGCTTGTTAACATTGCACTGTCCGGCTACAATGGACGGAAAGCGCCCGAGGGGATGGATGCCGTGGAGATGGAGTGATGAGATTAGCTCCGGTGCAGATGGCATTGGCGAGCAGAGAGCCTCCATCCAGCAGTGGATAGATCACGACTGATGATTTCCGGATGCCCAGGACAAATATCATAAAAAGTATACATTGTTAAACTTTTAATTTAACATGTAAGCCCATTAAGCTATATGCAGTAGCTATTTTCAGAAGCGATCTGGCCACAAATGATAGCCGAACGCAGTTGCTTATCATGTGGAAATGTATAGCAGCCGAATACTCTAAACGCACGTTTCTAAATGTGGAGGGGAAAGACCGGAGGACCCGGAGAAAAATCACACGACCACGGAGAGAACCTGCAAACTCCAAATATACAGCAGGCGTCAAGGTCGGGATTGAACCCACAACCTCCTGTGGCCACTCTGCTGCTGGATCAGAGTCTCGTCCTCGACACCGTGCGGATCATAGGGGTTGTTTGTGACCATACATCACCGCTATGATCAGTATGGGTTGAAGGGAGTGGGGGACCCAAGATAGGTTCAGATACCACTCGCCACTGATGTGAGCCGTAGCCAGGACACGAATTCAGGTGGCAAAGTTCATAGAGCACCACCTCGCAGCACCACTGCGCCCCCACGTAACTACCAATGGACATCACACGCAGCAGACAGGTCATCTGTCCCCACTTAAGATTCGCATCTGCTGCTGACAATATTAATTACCACCAGAGAGGCTTTTAATCAAAACAGAGCCAAGCAGTGTCATATAAAATAGGCTGGTGGAAACAAATAACGATACAATTATGCATCATCAGCCATTCTCTATCCACTGCTGGATGAAGGCCTCCTCAAACCGGAGCCATCTCTCATAGCCATGCGATTTAGCAATTATCTACCGGGTAAAGCAGTTTAATAAAATGTCACTCGTGTGGCTTTAAAAAAAATTACGATGAAAGGATTGGTATTATTCTTTGGTTCTTTCGGTAAAGTCACGTAGAAAGAAAAAACAATTTAAATAATAGCATACGACCTGGTCAACACCCTACCGTTATGTTAGCCGACTCTGTGTTGTATTGCATTATATTTCTACATTTAGTAGGTTTGTTTTCTTTCATTTGTACCTGATGATGAATGGTTGTGTGGCAATCGAAACGTAGTAGGCTATTATTTAATCTATTTTTTCTTTCTACGTGACTTTACCGAAAGCTCCAAATCAAGTTTGAAAGAATTGGTGTTATTCAGGACATGACGTTACATGTTTCTTGAATTCATCCGCGCGGAGCTTTGAGTGCGTCATTCCTTCCTATCCGTGGTGGGTTTGGACAGACATCCCAATACAGCAAGACTCGAGACTCGAAGTGGGGTGCTTTAGAGACATGCGTTTAGTGCATTTGGCTGCTAGAGCTGTACACGTGAGAAGCCACTCCGTTGACCTATCATTGGTGATAGCCAGATCGCGTCTGACAAAGAGCTAACATAGCTCAGTGGGCCTTACCTGGTAAAGTAAAAAGTTAGTTCATAGTGAAATAGTTGTTCGTAGATACATGGCTTTTACTGCATTAATCTTGAAGGCGCCCATTCTCATCAGATATTGGAAGCGGAGCACAGGACTGCGCCCGGATAGTGATGGAATGGGCGATTGTCACCACGCACGAACACCAGTCGTTGTTGTTTTAGGTTGTGCAGCAGAGAGGGCAGTGAAAGGAAAATGATCCCCCGCCTTCACCAACCAGCGCCAATAACCTACGAGGTGAAGTATGGCCAAATGTTCGCGGGCGCTCTTCCAACAGCGGCATCTCGCGTCTCTTTACACAACGACCATTTTTCGGCAGCTTTTTAAAAAAATGGACAGTAATTGCGTACAGTGAATCGCGTTGGCACGGTGCTGTAGGATGATTGTTATTAGCAGCACGCCGCGCTATGAACTGGGCCATACACGAGTTTGGTTCCCGGGCCACGGCGAGTGATACCCGGACTGATTGTAGTTACCACCACCCACCCCACTACCACTACCACCACCACCCACACTACCACTACCACCCTCCCCACTACCACCCACACCACCACTACCACCCCACTACCACTACCACCACCCACCCCACTACCATAACCACACCACTACCACCACCCACCCCACTACCATAACCACACCACTACCACCACCCACCCCACTACCATAACCACACCACTACCACCAACACCACCACCCACACCACTACTACCACCACTACCACCCACACCACTACCACCACCACCCACCCACCCCACTACCACCACCGCCATCCACACACCCCACTACACCACCCACACCACTACCACCACCCACACCACTACCACCACCCACACCACTACCACCACCCACACCACTACCGCCACCCACACCACTACCACCACCGCCACCCACCCCACTACCACCACCCACACCACTACCACCACCCACACCACTACCGCCACCCACACCACTACCACCACCGCCACCCACCCCACTACCACCACCCACACCACTACCACCGCCATCCACACCACTACCACCACCACCCACCCACTTAAACCAACCCGCACGCAGCAGCGTGGGGGGAAGTATGGTCAACAACGCCCATGACCGAGACGAGATACACAGAGACAAAGAGAGAAGGGGGGGGGGGGCTTCATCCAGCAGTAGATCGACAATGACACCTGGCACAGCACTCGCTGTTGCGCGCTTGGGCCCCAAACATCGGGGGATGCGACCGGCAAATGTCTCTCCGTGCCCCGCACACCACATCCAGTCACTCAACCCCCTCTCGGCTAGCCGCGAGTTAACCACGGCCCAAACAACAACAAACATCGATCGAGACACGAAAGCTCCCCCCCAGACACCCCCCACCAAAACAAACACGAGAGCCGCACACAACCTGTTGGTAGTCGTGGCTGTCCGGAGCGAAGTCGGACGAGACGATGGCGAACTTGAAGCTCAGGTGGGGGAAGCCGTGGAGCCAGGAGACCCACCAGGGCACCACGTAGCCCGCGGAGGACATCCCGGCGGGCGGACGCAGGAGGAGATGGAGGAGATGGTGATGGAGGAGGTGGTGGTGGAGGAGATGGTGGTGGAGGTGGTTGTGGCAGGGCAACAACGATAGCCCACGACAGCCGTTACCAACAACGACGACAACGACGGACGAATTCGCAGGGCGGACGAACGCGGGCACATGGGCAGGGAGAGAGAAGACGAAGCCAAGGTGCGGGACACGGAGTGGGAAAATGGTGAACGACGAACGAATGGGGGTGGGGGGGTGTTGTCTCCGTGTGCTCGGCCGATGCCCGACGCGGTGCTGCTGGGCCTGGTGGTGTGGCGGTGGTGGCGGCTCGGACAGGGCCGCGGCTTTGTGCGGCTGCTGCTGCCCGAGGCGGATGTGAGACAGCGCGAGCCGCCCCGTGACGGCGCGAGCCGGAGATGTTTGTTTCGCTTCGCGCAAGAAAGTTCGCCTCGGCGAATGACGTCACCCCCCCCCTACACCCCCCCCCTACACCCCCCCCCTACACCCCCCCCCTACACCCCCCCCCTACACCCCCCCCTACACCCCCCCCTTACACCCCCCCCCTACACCCCCCCCCTACACCCCCCCCTACACCCCCCCCCTACACCCCCCCCCTACACCCCCCCCCTACACCCCCCCCTACACCCCCCCCCTACACCCCCCCCCTACACCCCCCCCCTACACCCCCCCCTACACCCCCCCCCCTACACCCCCCCCTACACCCCCCCCCTACACCCCCCCCCTACACCCCCCCCCTACACCCCCCCCCTACACCCCCCCCCTACACCCCCCCCCTACACCCCCCCCCTACACCCCCCCCTACACCCCCCCACCCCTACACTCCCCCACCCCTACACTCCCCCCCACCCCTACTCCCCCCCCACCCCTACTCCCCCCCACCCCTACTCCCCCCCACCCCTACTCCCCCCCACCCCTACTCCCCCCCACCCCTACTCCCCCCCCACCCCTACTCCCCCCCACCCCTACTCCCCCCCACCCCTACTCCCCCCCACCCTACATCCCCCACCCCTACACCCCCCCCTACCCCTACAAACCCTCCCGCCAACCCCCCCACCCCTCCCCTACACCCCTCCCTCCCACCCCTACACCCGTACCGCCCCCACCCCCTCCCCCCTACTCCCCTTCCCCTCCCTCCATCTCCCTCCCCCCCTATATCCCCCTCCACCCCTCCACCCCTCCACCCCCCCTCTCCGCCCCCTTTCCATCCCCCCTCCACCCCCCTCTACACCCCCTCTACACCCCCCTATCCACTCCCCCTCTACACCCACCTATCCACCCCCCTCCACCCTCCTCCACCCCCCTATCTACCCCCCCTCCACCCCCCCCTCTACACCCCCTCTACACCCCCCTATCCACTCCCCCTCTACACCTACCTATCCACCCCTCTACACCTCCCCTCCACTCCCGCTCCATCCCCCGTTCCTGGACTTCAACTCGCGCCTCCTGCTGGCCAGGGATCGGCGGCTTCCTCCGCAGCCAACTCGGCAAGCTGGTGACGTCCCGACTACCCCCCGAGTAATCCGATAACACCTAGCCTTAATACTCACCCCCCCACCAACCCACCCACCCAGCCTTAATACTCACCCCCCCACCAACCCACCCACCCAGCCTTAATCCCCCCCACCAACCCACCCACCCAGCCTTAATACTCACCCCCCCACCAAAAAGTGTATTGGTTTAGCCATGTTTGTGTTGTTGTAGTACAGAGTTAGACTGATGGCCTTAATCTAAGTTGTCTTGTGGTTGTTGTTTGACTTGCATCCCACTGGGATTTTTGCACACAGCGTTGGTGTACGGTGTTTTTTCTGCAATATTTTTGCTGTCTTTTCTTGGATTTTCTGTTTGCACTTAGTCACATATTCACTTTAAGATGTTTTTTGTTCATGTTTTTTGTTTTTTGTTTGTTGCGGTTGCACCCGATTCAAGAGCTGAATGGCTCACAGGGCTATACCTAATAAATGAACTTGAAACTTGAAACTTGAACCCACCCACCCAGCCTTAATACCCCCCCCCACCAACCCACCCACCCAGCCTTAATACTCACCCCCCCCACCAACCCACCCACCCATCCTTAATACTCACCCCCCCACCAACCCACCCACCCAGCCTTAATACCCCCCCACCAACCCACCCACCCAGCCTTAATACTCCGCACCAACCCACCCACCCAGCCTTAATACTCACCCCCCCACCAACCCACCCAGCCTTAATACCCCCCCACCAACCCACCCACCCAGCCTTAATACTCACCCCCCCACCAACCCACCCACCCAGCCTTAATACTCACCCCCCCACCAACCCACCCACCCAGCCTTAATACTCACCCCCCCCACCAACCCACCCACCCAGCCTTAATAGTCACCCTCCCCCCACCAACCCACCCACCAGCCTTAATACTCACCCCCCACCAACCCACCCACCCAGCCTTAATACTCACCCCCCCACCAACCCACCCACCCAGCCTTAATACCCCCCCCACCAACCCACCCAGCCTTAATACTCACCCCCCCCCACCAACCCACCCACCCAGCCTTAATACCCCCCCACCAACCCACCCACCCAGCCGTAATACTCACCCCCCCACCAACCCACCCACCCAGCCTTAATACTCACCCCCCCACCAACCCACCCACCCAGCCTTAATACCCCCCCCCCACCAACCCACCTACCCAGCCTTAATACCCCCCACCAACCCACCCACCCAGCCTTAATACCCCCCCCCCCACCAACCCACCCAGCCTTAATACCCCCCCACCAACCCACCCACCCACCCAGCCTTAACACTCACCCCCCCACCAACCCACCCACCTAGCCTTAATACTCACCCCCCCACCAACCCACCCACCCAGCCTTAATACCCCCCCACCAACCCACCCACCCAGCCTTAATACCCCCCCCCACCAACCCACCCACCCAGCCTTAATACTCACCCCCCCCACCAACCCACCCACCCAGCCTTAATACTCACCCCCCCACCAACCCACCCACCCAGCCTTAATACCCCCCCCCCACCAACCCACCCACCCAGCCTTAATACTCACCCCCCCACCAACCCACCCACCCAGTCTTGATACTCACCCCCCACCAACCACCCACCCAGCCTTAATACTCACCCCCCTACCAACCCACCCACCCAGCCTTAATACCCCCCCCCCCCCCACCAACCCACCCACCCAGCCTTAATACTCACCCCCCCACCAACCCACCCACCCAGTCCTTGATACTCACCCCCCACCAACCCACCCACCCAGCCTTAATACTCACCCCCCACCAACCCACCCACCCAGCCTTAATACTCACCCCCCCACCAACCCACCCACCCAGCCTTAATACTCACCCCCCCACCAACCCACCCACCCAGCCTTAATACTCACCCCCCCACCAACCCACCCACCCAGCCTTAATACTCACCCCCCCACCAACCCACCCACCCAGCCTTAATACTCACCCCCCCACCAACCCACCCACCCAACTTTTAACACTACGAACCAGCCCACCTCCCACACCGCAAATCCCACTCATGGCACTTAGACAACGCGATTGGCGTTCATGATTATTCGAACGTGTTGATCAAACTCAGAATATTTTTTTTTAGACGCGCGGAACCCGATGAGTTACGGTGAAGCTCGTTTTTTCACTGCAGTTGAGATTACGGGCCGTCCATAAATGACGTCACGCACCGAGGTTTGGGGGGGGGGTGGTCAGACATTTGTGACGATGTGTGACGAGGGGGGGGGGGTGAGAAATGTGACGTCACATCAAAATGCGCAACTTTAAATAAATATAGACACGTTCTACTTAATTTAATACGTTTAAATAAATGTTTTCTCCTTCAACATCAGAGTGCAGCGCCACATTAAATACGCACTACAATGACAATAGCTTAAAGCGATTTGAAGCATGTTTTATTTTTTTTTGGGGGGGGGGGCAGAGCTTTGGGACGTCATATTTGAGTGGGGGGTATGTCTTTTTGTGACGCTGTGTGACAAGGGGGGGGGGGGGGTCAAACATCGTCAAAAATCGCGTGACGTCATTTATGGACGGCCCCTTATCTCACTCGAGCGCATTTCCCCCCACTCCCCCTCCTTTGGCTGTCGCTCCGTTATTAGTCTCGGCCACTGGCCCATCGTCGCTTCCATCGACGGTGTCCTTTGCCAAGCACATCGTGGAGGCAAGGGGGGCGTCCATAAATGACGTCACGCGATTTTGGACGATTTTTGACCCCCCCCCCCCCTCGTCACACGGCGTCACAAAAAGTCAGACCCCCCCTCAAATATGACGTCATAAAGCTCAGCCCCCCCCAAAAAAAAACCCAACATGCTTCAAATCGCTTTAAACTATTGTCATTGTAGTGCGTATTTAATGTGCCGCTGCACTTTGATGTAGAAAAAAACATTTATTAAAAAGTATATTTAATTAAATAGAACGTGTTGTCAATATTTATTTAAAGTTTGCGAATTTTGATGTGACGTCACATTTCTCAACTCCCCCCCCCTCGTCACACATCGTCACAAATGTCTGACCCCCCCCCCTAGGTGCGTGACGTCATTTATGGACCGCCCAAGGGTCGGTGGATCACCGCACACACATTGTGAGACTCCTCGTGTGTGCATCGCGGTGCCATGCCCTGGCTCACCAGGAGAAAAGCGGCACAGCAAGTGGACTAATCGCCATCTGTTTCCATCCGTACGGGGATTGAGTGTTGCCCCCTCGCGCGTGTGGGTTTGTCCGCGGGTGCTCCGGTTTCCTTCCGCGTGTGTAAACACACTCGTCATTAGTTGGCTGAAAAATCTTAACCAAAAACCCAATGCAGAGCCCACCTAAGAAAAAGAGTCATACTCTTTGGTTCTTTCGGTAAAGTCACGTAGGTATAAAATAAATTAAATCACGACGTTTCAACCGCAGCGAGGAACAATTGCTGAAGTGGGCAAAAGGGCTGCTATGGCAGGAGGCTATATAGGTAAGAGAGGGGGGGGGGGCCCTTTTGCCTTTTCAGCAATTGTTTCTTGCTGTGGTTGTCCCACCTGATAACGGCCGCTTGTGTTGCGCCCGAAACGTCGTGATTTACTTTATTTTATTTTATACCTACGTGACTTTACCGAAAGAACCAAAGAGTATGGATCCCTGCAGTCACGAAAACTTCAAATCTAAAAAAAAGAGTCATCCCGACTCTGTGTGTGTGTGCACCCATCTAGCTTGAAAAACGCCATTCCAATTGTTGCACAGGCGATGTTAACTCTTGCAAGGAGGAATTACCTCCGTGCCAGTTATATTGCCTGGAGGCAGTTTTGGCCAAGAGCCAAACACCATCGTTAGCTGCAGCTACAAAACGGTGGCAGCTGCCGCCGCTGCCGCTGGGTTATTCGTAAGTCTACAGATGAGATCACGTGGTGCGACAGCGGCACTGGCTGCACCACAGGACCATGCGTGTTGGGGGGGTGCCACTGATACAATCCATGCGTTTCGCTGCTGAATCTTGATCGAGTTCACGGTGCAGTGTAGTGTGATGACACCATTAGCCCCGCCGGGAGACTGCTGAGCGCTTCGTTAGTAATTGTCCTACGGTCGTAGCACGGTCAGATAACGCCCCCTCTACGACCCGATACGGCGCGGGGGGGGGGGGGGCCTTCATCCAGGAGATGATTGGCACAAGGGCCGTACCAATTAATAACTCGATGCGGGTTAATTCGGCGTTGAGTGTTCAGGCTTCGTGAACGAGCGACTCTCAGGCGCTTTAGCTGGAGCGACTGTCAGTGTGAGTCATCGGCAGCCACGATCTCTATCCACTGCTGGATGGATGCCCCCTTCCCCCCCAAACATCCACATGGCGCTCACGCACCAGCTGCTGATTGCATCGCTCCATCACTGGCACGTGCGGACGTCTACTCAGGCGCGTTCCCTCAATTGAATCGTCTGTGCGGGCTCATGCATTCTCTGCGCGTCATTGTGGTAAACCTGTGGACATTGCAGGGTTGATTGAGCTCTCGCCCCTGTGGATATTGCAAGCTCTCGGCGTTACGTGTCATGTATGCACTGCATGTTGAACTTCTTTCGCACCGTACGTAGCCAGCCGTGCTAATTAGAGGTGCAGTGCTGAGTCTATGGGCAGTATTCATACTCTTAGGTTTTTTCGGTAAAGACTCGTAGGTAAAAAGTAAAATTAAAATTAATAAAAGTAAAATATCCAGGGGCCTACCTTGGCTCCTCCCCCCTCAACCAGTATATATACAAGGTCGGGTCTCTTGGAATGTATCTTTACTTGATACAGCAATCGGGCTGTGACGGTACCACCTGAAGACGGAAGCTTGTGTTGCCTCCGAAACGTTGTGATTTTTTCTTTTACTTTTATTAATTTTAATTTAATTTTTTACCTACGTGACTTTACCGAAAAAACCTAAGAGTATGAATCCTTGCAGTCACGAAAGCTTCAAATCTAGAATCTATGGGCAGTGTTGAGTCTATGGGCAGTGTTGAGTCTATGGGCAGTGTTGAGTCTATGGGCAGTGTTGAGTCTATGGGCAGTGTTGAGTCTATGGGCAGTGTTGAGTCTATGGGCAGTGTTGGTCTATGGGCAGTGTTGAGTCTATGGGCAGTGTTGAGTCTATGGGCAGTGTTGAGTCTATGGGCAGTGTTGGTCTATGGGCAGTGTTGAGTCTATGGGCAGTGTTGAGTCTATGGGCAGTGTTGAGTCTATGGGCAGTGTTGAGTCTATGGGCAGTGTTGAGTCTATGGGCAGTGTTGAGTCTATGGGCAGTGTTGAGTCTATGGGCAGTGTTGAGTCTATGGGCAGTGTTGAGTCTATGGGCAGTGTTGAGTCTATGGGCAGTGTTGAGTCTATGGGCAGTGTTGAGTCTATGGGCAGTGTTGAGTCTATGGGCAGTGTTGAGTCTATGGGCAGTGTTGAGTCTATGGGCAGTGTTGAGTCTATGGGTAGTGTTGAGTCTATGGGCAGTGTTGAGTCTATGGGCAGTGTTGAGTCTATGGGCAGTGTTAGTCTATGGGCAGTGTTGAGTCTATGGGCAGTGTTGAGTCTATGGGCAGTGTTGAGTCTATGGGCAGTGTTGAGTCTATGGGCAGTGTTGAGTCTATGGGCAGTGTTGAGTCTATGGGCAGTGTTGAGTCTATGGGCAGTGTTGAGTCTATGGGCAGTGTTGAGTCTATGGGCAGTGTTGAGTCTATGGGCAGTGTTGAGTCTATGGGCAGTGTTGAGTCTATGGGCAGTGTTGAGTCTATGGGCAGTGTTGAGTCTATGGGCAGTGTTGAGTCTATGGGCAGTGTTGAGTCTATGGGCAGTGTTGAGTCTATGGGCAGTGTTGAGTCTATGGGCAGTGTTGAGTCTATGGGCAGTGTTGAGTCTATGGGCAGTGTTGAGTCTATGGGCAGTGTTGAGTCTATGGGCAGTGTTGAGTCTATGGGCAGTGTTGGTCTATGGGCAGTGTTGAGTCTATGGGCAGTGTTGAGTCTATGGGCAGTGTTGAGTCTATGGGCAGTGTTGAGTCTATGGGCAGTAGGTATGTATGCTGAACTTCTTTCGCACCGTACGTAGCCAACCGTGCTAATCGGAGGTGCGGGGAAAGAACAACTTACACACTAAACACAAACATCTGCCATGCACAAGACGAAGGAATCCCCATGAAAACTCTACAGCTAGCAGTGAAACCTCCCTGTGTCAGACACTGGCACCGGGGTAATGAACAGAACGACTTCTGGAGTCACTGCGAAAGTCTTGCTCCCTGCATTGACCTTGAACTTGCATTGACCTTGCACAATAATTTTGTTAATCCACTCTGTTGCATGAGATCCCCCTCCTCATTACCCACCGTGCGAGTCGTGGGGGTTGTAGGGGTTGTTCGACCATATTTCACCATGATGGTTAGTGCACGTTGGTGAAGAAGGGTTCTTGGGACCGATTCAGATATCAATCACCACTGGTTTTGGTCTGTGGCCGAGGATCGAACTCAGGGCGCTCCATTTGTTAGCTACAAAGTGGTCCAGATGTCTCATGACCTCCCCAAATTGATTGACCCCTTAAACATGTTTTCCCTTTGCTTATTCATTTAAGTTTGCACACCCATTGGTATTTAAATAAATTACGTTTTCTAGAATTAAATGGGGGTGACAAGACATCTGGACAACCCTGTATATGAGGGCACACATTTTATATTTCCCGGAAAGGGTTTTCGTCCATTCCATTCAAATATATACAGTAATTCTCAGAACTGGGATTTATTCAATTTAGGTGAAAAATATCCCACAAATGTAATATGATGGATTTTGTGTGTGTGTGCAATCATTGTAACAGGGGTGAGAACATAAACTCGCGAGACGTGAGCACCCGGTTTAATGAGTGATACACAGACACACACACAACTGGGTACTCTGAGCAACATTGCCCTTTATTTAACCACGTGTATAAAATCCACATTCTTGTATTCAACGATTTACACATCAGTGCTTTTATAGTCTCACATACCGGGTATTGGTGAAAACAAGCTTCTTAAAACCACTTCATACAAAAGTACTAATTCATAATGGAAGCAAAAATAACCTCAATGAATATGCTTACAGTAATGTAGTGCGTAGTACCTACGCGCATATGATATGGTTACAACATAGTACGTTGATTAACATTGACGTAGTAAATACAAATTTAATAATACATATTTTTTTACACATATATAAACTACGTATGGAGGTCTGCCTGCAACCCAAGTTTCCCATTCCTGCTTGTCGTACACGTTTAAGCTAAGTTACAACCATTTATCTATCCACTGTTAGATGAAAGCGGTCATGGGCAGTGTTTGACCATACCATGGTTAGTGTGGGCTGGTTGGTGGTGCTTGGTTGGGACGTCGGGGAAATAGTGGATTGCCCAGGACCAGTTCAGGTATTGCTCGCCACTGATGTTAGCCTTGGCCCGGAATTGAACTCAAGTTCCCTGGGTTCGTAGCGTTCGGTCGTAACCACTATTGGAGTTATTGTAGTGGTATCAGGGAAGATTCTCTCCCCATGTACTGGATGATAACAATACAAATAATAATTCCGAAATAATCTTGAGAGTTTCAAGGGGTTGGGCCCTGCCATGGGATGTTTGGCTGAGTCCTGTTTGTTGATAATGTTTTGTTTCATTAATATAGTGGAGGGCATTTGGAAAGTTGACCTAAATAATCGACCGGGAATAGAAACCACGTGATCAGGTTCTCGGCCCGGTGCCGGAGTAATTGAGCCCCAGATTGAGGGTGCATACGTATAATTCAGTAATTAACCATGCTGTGGCTTTTGCAAGAAAATGTGTGGCATACTACCAATACAAAAATGCGTGTATACTTGCATGTGTATTTTTTGGAGTATATATGTATGAACGGGTGGAGCGGTGGCGCAGTGGTTAGCGTACTGCGCAACAAACCGGACGATCAGGAGTTCAATTCCCGGCCTCGGTTATAAAGCCAGTGGTGGCAAGTGGTATCTGGGACTGGACCTTGGCTCCTCCAGGTCGACTCAGCCTTAAATGAGTACCTGGTATGATGTGAAACGTCCGCACTGGGGAAAGAAAGACAACCGGAGCACGGTTCTGGCCACACCATCCCATCGTGGCGCCGTTCGGACCTTAATAGATGCTCGCCAGCAGCATTTGACCCAACAGTCTGCATGTCTATATGGGGAATCTTTGCGTATGTATTGTGTATATGAGGCTACAATGGGAGATAAATATACTGTATTGTTTAAAAATGATGACTAATGCCTGCCGTTAACCTGTCAACACACATATAGAGAGAGGGCATCACAAACATTTTGAGCAATTGCCTGAATCATTGTCATTATTTCTGCTTAAATATATATTCGATGCTTTAACAGATGGCATTCATCATAGTGAAAAAGCCATTTATATGGGCGAGAACTCATTTACGGGTAAACGTGTGTGCCCTTCACGAAGGAAAGTATGAGTACAGCAAAACAAAGTGGCCACGCGAAACCAATGACGAACTGCAATGCCATCCTCTAAACCAGCTGCAGGGTAACCTGCAGTCCACGGGCTGGAAGCGACCCACGACTTTGTATCATACGGCCCCGAGGCCCATACGAGCAGCGCCGCATTACGTTTAGGTGTTGTCGCAAAGGCAAGAGCCGAGTAACTTGGGGCTCTCCAATCACTTCCTCGTCTGGATGCCATTGCGTTACATTTTGGCCATGCTTGAACGTTGAACGGAGGCGTGGAGAAATATGATTGTGCAACTATTTGGCTTTTTTTTTCATTGCTAAATTTCAACAGAGTTAGGTGTGTGCTATTTCTCCCTGCACCCCCAATTAGCACGGTTGGCTACGTACGGTGCGAAGGATGTTCAACATGCATACATTCTCAGAGTGGGCCATCTTGGCGAATATTAATTAAGTTTGATAGGGGCGCAGGGCTGGTACAGTTATTGAGGGGGCCCTTCTTTGTATATTCAATTGCTTCCCTTGACTGTTTTACCAGCACACATGTGCAATGTCAAACACCCAATTGGTATTCACCGTGGGTATTTAAGTTCTGTGTTTTTTATGAGTTTTACGAATTGTTGTAAAGGTTTCAATGAAAGTTAAAAAAAATATGTTTATTCTGCCCGTAACCAGTCGTAATTCACATTGTTATTCTATGGCTTTAATTTACTTATTTACCTGTAGAATTTATCATGACATATGTCGTTTCAACCATCTTAAAGCAGTACTGTACAAAATATTTAGAGGGCCTCAAAATCGTAAGGTTCCACATTGCAACTCTTAAAGCCCCCTGCATTAATCCGGCCCTGTAGACGAGGCTTACCACTTCTATACAGCCCTCAAACCATGGTTATCCATCACTGCAAGAACCTAAGCCACACTAATTGGATACTAGAGGGGGGTTAATTTCAGCATCTCTGTGTGCCATGTCCTATCTCAAATACATTGACAATTGTAGCCTTCCATCCATCTAGTTCCCAGTATCAGATACTCCCAGTTGCATCCAATTATTGAAATTTCTTATCTACTTAATTTGATTTCTTCCCCAGCTTCGTGTACCTATAATTGTCCTAGTTTCGAACATCCTTCCAAACACTTTTGTTGTTCTTGTTGCTTATAGTTTTCTTCGTAGAGTCTTTGTAATTGTCTAGTTTACAGCATAGCATACATGGTCACTTCAGTCACTGTCGGGGCCTCTCCTCGTGACTGGAGTGACTGAGCATGTGTGTGTGTGCGTTAACGTGCGTCCCCACCAAGTCCTATTCGAGCCTCAATAAGTTAAATGTTTCCCCACCTCTGATGTACACACCGCTGATCAACACGTATACAGCACGCGCATGGTGTAAATAAGAATAAGTCAAAGTTTGCGGTGTGCTTAAGTCCTTGCGTTTGCTCGATACATTACTGATTTTGGTACCAACAAGGCACCCAGCATTTACAAAGAACAGAAATGTTGAGGCGCTTCTCATGCTGTGTCGGTCGTGGGGGTTGCTTGACCATAATTCGCCAGTAACGGGTTGGTGAGTCGCAGACGGGAATTGAACGCGGGCGGGCAGATTCACAGTGCAGTGCGCTAACCACTGCACCACCGCTCCTCAATAATACAATAATGAGAATAGAGACTCAGCTTCCTAAATACTTTCATGAATTAACAAAAAATACATATAAATACCTGTATTATGACTTGCTCATTGTAAATTGTTATGGCTATACACAATTTGGGCTCTTTACATATCAAGGACCGGAGTAATGGTTTGAGAAAAGCATACATTCTCAACCTTTGAGAATACCCATAAAGAAACCTGCTAATATACACGGTAGTGCAATATGATTTCGTTATGGTCTAAACAGTCATCATCATTATCATCAGCCATGATCTATCTGCTGCTGGATGAAGGCCTCCCCAAGCCATCACCATCTCTCACTGTGGCGTTCATCCTCTCAGGCGTTAAGTAGACGCGTGCGGATCCATATATTAATCGATTATTATATACTTATATACTCACGATATACACCGCATTGAAAACATTGTATGCGGGACAGACCAGTATCATGGTTATTTTTGTTCTATTTCATTTTCGATTCACGTGGTGATGCATGGCATGGGTTCACCTCACCGCCTATCGTCACTAAAAGCCGCTACATTCACAGCAATTTCACAAAAATAATCGATTGCTAAATCTAATCGCAACCCTGAATGACTAGAATTGTATTGCCTGGTGTGTGAATATTAAGGCGCTTGCTCTATAGTATTTCATTAACAACTCACATGTAGCTCGAATTCAATTAAACCAAAACGGAATGTAATTTTTTTTATCTCATCAGTAAAATAAAAGTTTAACCGCTACGCACATGCATGCAATACATCCTGTATATTTGAATCCACAAATTAATGATAATATTCATGACAAATAATAATTTCCATTACAACAATTTAAATTTGTAGTTCCATTCACCATACCGGTCAATATTTTAACGACACAACACACATGCAGCCTCGAATCGGCTTCGTCTTCACCGAGTCTCTTCAGCAAGGCATGGCCCTGCCAATAGATGCATTGCTTGCCAACACGAGCACACATGCTTTTCGGAAGTTTCAGTGAATTGAGTCGAGGTGTTTTAATCCCCCAAGATTCAGATCAGATATGGGGGGCAAACATCCGGGTCTCCAGCCCTCCGGGTCCTTCACAGCCGTGAGCCCGCAAGGCCAACTCCCTTCTCAGTCCCAGACCTTGGAGGTGATGATCAGCCTGTTGCTCCTGCAGCCATGAGGACACTGGCCTCCTCCCTTGGCCTCCTCTGCCAGCTGGGCATGAAGTCCTTGATGTTGTCCTTCTCCCGCAACTCCAATTAGTATGGTTAGCTACGTACGGTGCGAAAGAAGTTCAACATACATACAAATCCGATTCGGAGCAGCTACTCTGCTGGGTCGGGCCTCTGGGAAGCGAGCCGCGTGGCCACTAAACGGCCGCAGCTGGCGTCTCCCGCAACAGGCACAAGCGGCGTCTCAGCACGGTCTCCCGAAGCAGTCGACGATTTGATACAAAAATCATGAACCCGCCCGTAACCCCAGGATCCTGCGTGGGGAGAATTGTAATGATGGCGTTCAGCCTTTCGGTGCCTTATTTCGTGTCCATGACCTCCGCCACCGCACAGCAGCACGTGCAACACCAGGGCACTGAACACCCTGCACCTTTGTCCTTCTGCTCAGTAACATGCATTAAAAAGACTAAAACAGCTCTGATCTTGCGGCTCATACACCAAGACTGCATAACAAGCTTCCTGAGTGACAAAACCGGCCGTAAAGTTACGGGCAGCAGCGGCATGATGGCACCTGAGTGAAGTAACTTATTTTCAAATCAATTTAGGTCCATAATGATGGGCCCATCATTTACATTAAAGGAAGCTTTAAACTCTTGTGGGACAGCCTAAGGTGTACAGCTACAAGGTGAGAACTGTTTGTTTTAATTGGTGGCGGAGGATGTGGTCGAATCTCCATTTAATGTGGCACCTACGCCCTGTGTGCATATTGCACGCAGGCAGGGCTTAATTTCAGTCCTGGTTGGTGACTTGGTAGTGATGTTTTCTTTGCACCCGGGCACACAACATCCAGTTCACCGTACCTCGCTATGGCTGTGGCTATGATAATCAACGTGGCACCACGTCCAGTCTATTAGCGACTGGCTACGTGTTCAGTTGAGAAATTAAGCCGTGCTCACGTAGCTTCCACGGCAGGTGCAAGTGTCTTACATGCCTCATGAATTTGTCCACCCAGCAGCACAAATGGATACACCATGGATAGACGATCGGCAGGTCCCTGTGTGCTGTTGGGGTAAAGTGTGGATACGTTGAATTCTTGCAAGCCATCTGGGCAGCGTGAAAGAGTAGGCCAAATACCTCCTAAAGCCAAGGAGGGGGAGGGTGGGGGGGCGCTGTGGCTTTTTATCGTGCCCTCCTAGTGGAGGTCCTTCCACCAGCCAGCAGTGGCATGAGCAAGCGATCGCAAGATCTGCGCCGACAGGCTTCGCTCAAAAGGGCAGAATCTCGTCGTCCTCCAGGTAGGACCCAAACGGGTGATGGTGGTGGTGCAGGGAGGCAACGAACGGCATGGTTGGGAGCGCGGCAGGGAGCGCGGCCGGGCGTTTCTCGCTCGCCGCAGCGGCCCACGCGCCACCGTCACCCTCGCCGTCACCCTGGGACGCCGCGTCGTCGGCCAGCGTGGCGCTGCTGCCCCCGCTGCTGCTGGCGCTGGAACTCCGTGAGCCGCCCCGGCTGCTCCCGCCCCGCCCCGGCGTCGCGGCGGGGGCTGCGGCGGCGACGACCTCGAAGCCCGGAGCCGCCGCGCCTCCTTCTTCCGAGCCCATCACTCCGAGGACGTCACCCAACATGGAGGGCCCCAGGTCCACGTGGAACGACATGACGGACTCGGCGTGCTTGAGCACGGGGATGGAGTGCGCGAGCGCCTGGTCGCGGCGGTCAAACAGCGGTTCCTGGCCGTCCATGGCGCCGTTCGGACGAGCGATCGCGTTGCCGCCGCCGCCGCCGGAGTAAGGGCTGAACCCTGCCGTGACCCCGGCGATTGAGCCCACAGGGGCCAAAGGGGTCCGGACGGGTCCCGGAGAGCGGCTCGCCCGCTCTCCGCCAGGCGGCGCGATGCACTGCACCTGTAACGGAGCATACCGAGGCATTGGTTAGTGCATTCATATAGATGATTTGGTTTCAATTGTTTTTTTTCCCCCTCTTGATCACTGAGCCTCCTGAAGCTCACAGCAGTGGTGGGGGTCTTCACACCGATGATCGCGATCTTCTTGATATAATTACGTCTTTCCTCTCAAACGTATCATGATTATGCTGTCGGTGTCACGTGACTATGAATGCATTCGAAACTCTTCCCAGAGGAGTGAAAACTTCCTTGGTATATAACGGCACCACGGATGTGGATGTCACAGAGCTACCTCTGATATCCCTTCAAGTGACCTCTGGTCCACACGGAAGGGGGCAGCCCTCTCCCATCCACTCCGCTCCTGAGAGTAATGTTCATCGTATTGATAGTGAAACCGATATTTGAATTCACAGTGCTAGAATTTACCCAAATTCAGTGCTGAGACCATCAACTCACTACTATTCTTGATAACTTGGTTTAATCGCAGGTTGCTGCTTGGGTTCCAACCTTCAGCGGTGTTAGCTCAGAGGTCTGACCTCTGAGCCACCCATCCACCTCACCAATGCAGAACCTCTAACTGTATTTTATCAACAAGGCAGCAGCTTAAACTGCCAAGTGGCTCAATTACACGATACTCTCGAGTCTCAATGAGAAGAGGCTTGTGAACGAACCTTGCATTGCAGTGTCTGCCCAGGATTGTCTCTAGCTCCATTGTAGCAATTCCCTCACGGCCAGAAACAGTAACAAGTGTGCTCACACAACACAGCAGGAAGGCATGCCTCCCACAATGCCTTGTGTGCAGGTCATGTGGCCACCACGTTGCATGTAGAACGCTCTCAGCCTTGTCTGGACCTTCCAACTCAAAAGAGCTGAAAGTGTGGCCATGAGCCAACAGCCTGCTCCTGCAATATGGATTTTCAGCAGTCACCCGTGCCTTCACCGCACACTGGCAACTTCGCAAAGGGGTGCCCCAGCACAACAACAATGCGTCTGTGATTAAATCACGAGCTCGTGAAATCTCGGAGGCTAAGCAGGGTTGAGCCACGCCAGTGTTCCGAATGGATTAACAGTCAAACCCATATTTCAGCATATGACACGACACCGAGAGTGCAATCACGATTCAAATTTGACTAAAGCAAGAGACAAGGAAAACATTTACCCCTACTTTTAAGTGAACTTCTTCCATCTCGTATTTACCGCCATGAATGGCCCTGACAAAGAAGATATCACAGAACCACTTCTGAGATCCATTCAAGCGACCAGCTCCACCGCCACCGCCTGATCCGCCCACCTCCATCTCGCTCCGTGACAGCGGCTGCGAGACGCCGACGGGGGAGCTCGGCGTGGAGGCGGAGTACGAGGAGGCGGAGGCCGAGGAGGACGGTGACGAGGGGAGCGGAACGGCGACGAAAGACGAAGTCGACGTGGACGACAGGCGAGCCGAGCGTCCCACCGAGAGGCTGCGCTTGCTGGCGCGCAGCGTGCGGGCCAGGAGGCTCTCCCTGCCCGCCGGGGGCGGCGACTCCCCGCGGCGGTACCTGGGATTCTCGGGAGGGGGTCTCTCGCGCAGGAACGACGTGTCCCCGAACGCGTCGCCGCCGCGACCCACGTGCATCGTGTGACGGAAATCTCCGAGCGGGGCGCTGATCATTTCCCTCGTGATCTCCAGCCGAGGTCGCCTCCTGCCCATCCTCGAGTCGGGTGAGCCTGGGGAGAAGTGTTTGCTGATCGGCATTGTCCGGAAAGCCAGGGTTGACCGATTGGACGATAGATACGTTTAGGTGTGTACGTGGGCGCGCAAGGGAGGAGGAGGCTCCGCTTATACCGCGGGCATGGTGTTGTGGACACCCGAGTGGGGGAAGTTGACGACGCGGAGCGCTCACGAGAACGCACTTGCCCTAACAGCCCGTTGCGGGCTGCGCGGGAGGGAATCTCTGCCTCTGTGTGGACTGTGGAGGAGGGCTCGTGGAAGGCGCTCCTGTTTGACCGTTGAGTTCAGAAGCGGACCGGCGACGGCGGACCGGCGGAGTAGCGACGCTCACGCCAACGGGCGGAGCGCCGGGCGGCTAAAATGCAACGAGGTGGCACAGGCGGTGCATCTGCCAGTCATCTCAGTTCAAGTGTAATCTACTTAAAATTGCACGCTCATGTTTTTTTTTTGCTACCGATAATAAGGGTTTGATTTCAATTTACACATCCGTCCGGTTAATAATGGATTTGCACTTGCCGTTCAATTTATATTTAAGTTGTTTCTTCAACTTTAGTTGCTGAATCGCGTTCACAACGCGCATTCCTTTTTTTGTGGAGCAAACAACACAAACGGGTTCTCTTTAAACTTAAATAAGATGTCGTCTGTGACTTCGTCAAGGCAGAGAAGAGTCGGAAGAGGCGCTGGTCCAAGTTGCAGGGAACCTCCACAAGAGGGCGCTCCCGTGTCGCTTACAGGAGGTCGCAGGCGACGGGGTTTGAACGCAAATTCAGTCTCATCCACGGGCGAATTGTCTGTGAGCAACACCACAGCACACAAAGACAACAACGACAACAACACGAGTGAGATTACGTGGAGTCACGCGCCCTTGGCACCAGGCGTAGTTTCAGACACAGGTACAAAGACAAAGATCCCCCCCCCTGTGTAGCCTTAGCAGACTGCTGGGACAAGTGTTGTTAGCGAGCACCTATGAACGCTTCACGAATTTGCGTGCACCTATGAAGGCCGGCACGGTACACGAGGGTGGCCAGCACCACGCTCGACCGCCTTTGTCTCCCTAGTGGCGACGTTTACATACCTGCACCAGGAACTAATTTGAGGCTGAGTCGACCTAGGGGTTGCCCCAGGACCGGTTCAGGTAATCGTCACTGGTGTTGGACGTGAGATCGAACCCACGGCGCAATTCCGTCCGCACGTTCGTGTGTTGCCAATCGGTGCATCCATTCCTAACATTCCGCTGGAAACGGTTACCGGTTCTTGACTTTCATTACCGGTTCGTATTATTCTCTGTGTTGCCCATGACGAGCTCAATACCAACGGCAAAGTCTGCGAGTGACGAGAGGGCTTCATGAGAGTTCGTCGTTGTTTTGCTGCTCCTCAGTTCACAGCCGTTTGCTATATGTTCCACGTAAGCGGTTTATCAGTTAGGGTTTTTTTTGTTACCACTTATCGTTTACCAACCAGAGTTTGCTTTAAATTACGCGAATTGTGGTTGACAGCACAACTAACGAATGCACTTCGTCAACAACACCGTGGACTTAATAACAATACAATAAAAACCGTTAACAACAGGTACATTAAATTTCGATTTAAAGCTTTCGTGACTGCAGGGATTCATCTTCTTGGTTCTTTCGCTAAAGTCACGTAGAATGGAAATAATAAAATAATAAAAATAACACATAATAAAATAATTCTCACGACGTTTCGGCCACAACGCAAGCAGCCGTCCTCAGGTGTAGAACAGGTCTGTCTGTTCATCTGCAAACTAAGACAGAGTATTCTCGACAGAAGATGAACAGGTACATTTTCGAGTAACGGACCCTTCGTCGCAACACGTAGCGAGGCCACAGCGGGTTGGGTTTATATTAATCACCTGCAGTTGCCTGGATTAGAACCCGGTGTCTATTGACAGCGGTGGCAATTTCAGCGCTTTCTCTCTCTCTCTCTGTGGCCTCCGAGTCACTCGGCCACACGTTCAACATGTATACACGTACCTGTCAAACCCCTTATCAGTGCCCGACCTTATTACAGACCAATTCAGACCTCATCGGTCACCCCGTAGCCTTGTAAATCTCAACGTTCATCCCACAAAGTCTCACCACAAGGGAGAAACGCAAACAAATTGACGAAAAAAAAGTGTTTTTGCCCGTATTGAAACGGATGTACGCCGTATGGACCTACAAACTAAATTTCCCTGTACAGCAATACGGAGTAAACCGTATGGGTTGACAGGTATGTATACACTAAAATTATATATTCATCAAGGGTTGATCGCGGTATGTTCACGCTATGGCCACACACCCTTGTCGCCCAGCGCGTGGTGACTTTACCCCCCCCCCCCAGGTCATTAGCTCGAGTTGGGCTGGGGGGGCGGGGGGCTGTGTGATGTGTGTAATTAAAGGTGCAGGTGCGCTGCACATCGCGTGCTTAGTTCCAGCCAAGTGCCAGCCAACATACAGCGCGGACCTAGCGCGTGTCTATTGCGAGCGGGACCCCTTCACCTACCTAGCAAAGGGATGACATCAAAAGTGTAAGGGCCTACCTGGGTTACCTTTAATGGATGCGGCGTGCTGTCAATAGCTGGGGCGTTGGTAGCTATGCACGCGGCCCGTAAACCAGCGCTGTGGTGGCAACGCAAGGGGGTGGATCTCATCAATGTCGCGAAACTCTTTTCGCGTGTGCGAGGAGGTTTCCATAACCCTGAGTCGCCAGTAGGAGGCAGTACAGCGCACGTATGGGCTCCGTAATAGTGGCGTTTTGGGGCCAGATTAGGCCTCGGCAAGGTAAGTAATTTACCATTTTTACCGGGTAAAAGGGTAAAGGTAAAGGTGTCGACATGCCAAGGGGTAAGGTAAAGGGTAGGGTAAAGGTAGCGCGGAAGAATTACCCGGTAAATACCCTGTTTACCGCTCGCTAAAAGCTCCGTGGCCTCCAATTTAAAAATGGAATTATCGAGAGTATTCTATATGAATAAAGAGCTCTACCTAGCATGTATCTGTTATAAACATTTTTCATGTGTAGTACCCCAGTAATTACCCTGTACTCGGGTATTTTGTATGGGATCAAGGTAAAAGATAGGGTAGAAATAGGCTCGTTGCTTTTGACCTTTTACCTTACCTTGCTCAAGGGTAAAAGGTACGGGTAGAGTGATTGTATTGTGGTAAGGTAAAAGGGAGAGTAAAGGTAGGCTCGTTGTTTTTACCTTTTACCTTACCTTGCCGAGGCCAATTACTAAGGTTTGTCACATAAACAAAACACGCCAATTCGTTACTAGTACAGCAACACCGGCGCGTTGGGGAGTTAAAAACTCAATATTTACAATTGTCGGGTGGTAGCGGGTTTAACGACACATTTATATATTTACGCGATCTCACCCAAAAAAACTCCATTATTGATAATATTGGTCGCGAAAGCCTACGTGATAAACTGACTAACCTACATGGACTCCGCCTGGTTTCCAACAACAACAACCACCGCCGTTCGCCTACTAAGTGGCCGCAACGTCACCACGGCGCTTTTATGAGACTGTACGTTGAACTTCTTTCGCACCGCACGTAGCCAACCGCGCTAATCGGAGGTGCGGGGGGGAAGGACAACAACACTAAACACAAAAATAAATGAGTTTTCCTATCTAGATTCAAAAGTGCATAGCTCCAGTGGCTTCCTAATATCGGAAGGAAGAGCATTCCAGACAGCCGCAGAAGCACATCTGAAAGCGGGCGATGCAGTGATCGCCTTTGTTCGATGGCCAGTCAAAAGCCGCTGCCATGCCAGGTGCACTTTGAGGCCACGTGAAGTGTTGAAGGTCCCCCTGGCAAGGAGGTCACGGAACAGACTCATGTGCCCATGGGTTGACTCACTGAGATGACTGGCAGATGCACCAACAGCGCTCCACACTGTCAACTCTATGCGTTGTAATCTTCCCATATGTAACCACACATTAGTTGGCCGATAATCCCGTAACATATAGAGGACCGCAGAGCTTTGGTGATTGTTTGGCGCCGGCTGACCGCGCGGCTGCCTTGCTGCTTGTTCTGCGGTTGCCTCGCGCCTCTTGAGCAATTCTTTTACATAATTATTAATGCTACTTTTCCAAAAGGAAGAAAAAAAAACCCTGTATATACAATCGGAGACGTTTCGGGCCATGCCTCTTATTCATAGCAGAGAGAATGGAAAGCGGTGCGCAGAGCCGTGTGCAATTGTAAGGGCCATGACCTGCATCGTCGCCCATGATGTACGTTTTTAATTTTAGGGCGGTGTTATTGACGAATGTGTGGAGTTTGTTTGCTAGTTGTGCTTGTGCATCACTGCCAAGGCAGCGTCTCCACGTGTTTTTGTATCATTGTACTATCGCGTGGGGGTTATTATCTTTTTTGCGAAGGAGTTTGGGCTTTGCAGCTCTCCAAATGTGTTTTTCGGGTCGTAGCGCCTGTGGAGTTTTAGGCGGACCCGACGTTTCGCTCCACGTGCCGGAAGCGTCGTCCATTCCCTAAGTACATAAGTAAGCTCGCAAAGTTTGGAGTTTTTTTGTTGTTGTAAGTTCTCGAATAAGCTCCCGGCAAGTGAAACGAAACGTTCGGGCATCATACCGAACTTTACGCGGCACAACCCAAAAACGCACCAGAGAGCTGACGACCTTAATTGTGAATAAATCTACCCTACAAATGTAAACATAAAAAATCAATCCACTCTAGGATGAATGCCTCTCCCCCCTACGTCGTATCGATCAAAGGGGTTGTTTGCTAAAGAAAGGAGAAGGAAGAACGTGGTGGTGGTGGTGGTGGGGCAAGGACCGGTTCACATATCACTTCATCACTCGCCACTGATGTCAGCCGTGGCGTAGTTGCGCGTGGCGCGGCGCGCCAACCGCTGCACCACCGCTCCCTCCCTATACTGAATAGTAATGGGGCCGCAATCTGTTACGCTCCCTGCGCTCTCTCTCTCTCTCTCTGCATAGAGAGTAGCAGATTACACGCCGAGGCTGTTGGGGTTCTCGCAATCTCTCTCAACATCTTGTTTGGTACACACGTAACATTTTTCGCCCCCTATCAATGGCGCTAATCTACTCCCATCTCTCTCTCTATCGCTCTGCTTCATGCGTTGCCCGGCAGTGTCTTTGGTTAGAGCAGAGATTACAGAAGTTGTTGGTACATGGAGAGAGAGGAGATACGGGGGCGTGGGGGGGGGGGCATCACAGGGGGGGGGGGGGGGTGATGGGGGCGCAGCCATGGTGTAACGTTGGTTGTGACAGTGATATGACTTTGAAATGTCTTCCAACCAACACCAACAGATCGTGGCTGATGATCTAATAACTTTCACTCCACGGGACCACTGGTAGCGATTAATGGGTAAAAATCCATGCAGTTAACGTGATGTGAATCTAATTGACTATTTATGATGTATGCAACGATATTCTGGACGTTTACGACCAAATTATCCCTGAATGCGCCGGATCTCGGAAGCTAAGCAGGCTGCAACCTGCCGAGCGCTTGGATGGACGAAGCGTCGACCCGACAGGGGCTACCGGCTGCTGCGGCGATTCGTGGTTGATCAGCTATAGGGGGAGTGCAGCAAAGCGGTACACTAGTTGTACTGTAGTTGTATGCTCCCACGTGTGTGCTCCACAGCGCCCACGATCCGCACAGATACATACAATGGATAGATAGGTCGATGTATGTTGGACTTATTTCGAATCGTACGTAGCCAACCGTGTTGATTGGAGGTGCGATGGGGAAGGGCAGCCAGCGAATGGATGGTTAGATATGTGTATTGAAGGATATACGGATGGATGGGTAGATGTATGGGTAGATAGGTGGATGGGTAGATGCATGAGTAGATTTGTGGATGGGTAGATGTATGGGTACATAGGTGGATGGGTAGATGTATGAGTTGATAGGTGGATGGGTGAATGGGTAGATGTATGAGTAGATTGGTGGATGGGTGGATGGGTAGATGTATGAGTTGATAGGTGGATGGGTGGATGGGTAGATGTATGAGTTGATAGGTGGATGGGTGGATGGGTAGATGTATGAGTTGATAGGTGGATGGGTGGGTATGAGTTGATAGGTGGGATGGGTGGATGGGTATATGAGTTGATAGGTGGATGGGTGGATGGGTAGATGTATGAGTTGATAGGTGGATGGGTGGATGGGTAGATGTATGAGTTGATAGGTGGATGGGTGGATGGGTAGATGTATGAGTTGATAGGTGGATGGGTGGATGGGTAGATGTATGAGTTGATAGGTGGATGGGTGGATGGGTAGATGTATGAGTTGATAGGTGGATGGGTGGATGGGTAGATGTATGAGTTGATAGGTGGATGGGTGGATGGGTAGATGTATGAGTTGATAGGTGGATGGGTGGATGGGTAGATGTATGAGTTGATAGGTGGATGGGTGGATGGGTAGATGTATGAGTTGATAGGTGGATGGGTGGATGGGTAGATGTATGAGTTGATAGGTGGATGGGTGGATGGGTAGATGTATGAGTTGATAGGTGGATGGGTGGATGGGTAGATGTATGAGTTGATAGGTGGATGGGTGGATGGTAGATGTATGAGTTGATAGGTGGATGGGTGGATGGGTAGATGTATGAGTTGATAGGTGGATGGGTGGATGGGTAGATGTATGAGTTGATAGGTGGATGGGTGGATGGGTAGATGTATGAGTTGATAGGTGGATGGGTGGATGGGTAGATGTATGAGTTGATAGGTGGATGGGTGGATGGGTAGATGTATGAGTTGATAGGTGGATGGGTGGATGGGTAGATGTATGAGTTGATAGGTGGATGGGTGGATGGGTAGATGTATGAGTTGATAGGTGGATGGGTGGATGGGTAGATGTACGAGTAGATTGGTGGATGGGTGGATGGGTAGATGTATGAGTTGATAGGTGGATGGGTGGATGGGTAGATGTATGAGTTGATAGGTGGATGGGTGGATGGGTAGATGTATGAGTTGATAGGTGGATGGGTGGATGGGTAGATGTATGAGTTGATAGGTGGATGGGTGGATGGGTAGATGTATGAGTTGATAGGTGGATGGGTGGATGGGTAGATGTATGAGTTGATAGGTGGATGGGTGGATGGGTAGATGTATGAGTTGATAGGTGGATGGGTGGATGGGTAGATGTACGAGTAGATTGGTGGATGGGTAGATGTATGAGTTGATAGGTGGAGGGATGGATCGCTGTACACGCGGTGTTTGGGGAGGCCCCTCGCTCCAGCTCGTGGAGTGACATCGGGGCTGCACGTGCGCACGGGACGCTGCCGGGTGACGTGTAACTCATCTGAGGGCCCGCAGATGGAGCCACAGCCACACGGCTCTTTTTGCTTTCGGCTAAAGCGACTTGACGGCTGCTCGCGCAGGGGGGTGAGGGGGGGCATTTTGGCTTCGTGGGCAGTAAATTCCCGAGGGGTCTTGGGGGAGGAGGGGGAGCTAAGGCTACACATCTCATTTGCGTCTGTTAACGTTATTTCCCATTGCCTAATCCTACCGAGTTGGATGCTGCCGGGGTGGTAATGGCTAAGCACAATGGATTTGGAAATCCAGAGGTCGCCGGTTTGATCCGAATTGAAACAATGGTGCAAGTTTCTTAACCGCCGTAGCCACGCGCGGCTCTGACCACCGAGCGATTTGAATTGGCACCCCACAGACGGTCGGTCGTGCGTGGTGGGGTAGAATGTGGGTACTCCAACCTCCTGGAAAACGTCTGGCGATCGTTGGAGGGTAGGCCAAATAACCTCTGTAGAGATCCCTCTTCGTGGAGGCCCTTCATCCAGCAGGGGCGTGAGCCTGCAATTGCAGGCCTGCACCTTTACCTAAAACGGAGTTAGTTCCGATCCATTGGCATTCGAGACTCGACTTCCTGTTGTCATAAATTTCGATTTAAAGCTTTCGTGACTGCAGGGATTCATCTTCTTGGTTCTTTCGGTAAAGTCACGTAAAATGGAAATAATAAAATAATACAATAATAAAAATAAAACATAATAAAATAACGTCGTGAGAATTATTTGATCATGTTGTCAGTTACCAACTCGTGCCACGCCAAACCCCCCACTCTTCCGCAGTTGTTTTTTTGCCCTGGTTTATATTTGCTTCATTGCTGTATTTAAATCTATCTTATTCGTCTTGTTTGTCATGTTGGTGGCTCAGATCTCTCTTAATAAAGATACTCTCTCCTGGTCTCTTGACGTCTCCCCTGGATAAAACAAAATACGCTTGAGACTGCTCATACGAAACTTTGTCATTATCATCATCATCATCCATGGTTAATCCACTCCTGGATGGGGTAGGTCCTCCCCACGCTGGTCGCCGTGGTGGATACTTATTTGACAAAACACTTCGCCACGTTGCTCCGTACGGTTCATATGAAGATGGGAAACACGGACGCTGCAACGTAGAAGTAGAGTACAACACTTGTCGCACTGCCCCCTCCTGCTCCGCCCCACGCAGCACTCTTAGCTTTTAACGCGTTGCTAATGAAATCACTGCGGGCTCGTGATGTGTGTAAGTAGAAACGCACATGTTTGCAACAACCCACGCTGGAAAGTACATCAGCCCTTTGTCAAATGCAATGCAGGGTAAAGAGGGCTGCCCATTCCGCGTCGATCACGTGAGCTATTTGACCATACTTCCCCACGCTGGGCAGTGCGGGTTTGTTGAAGGAAGAAGACATCCCAGAACTTACTGGTTCGGGTTATCACTCGCCACGGATGTTAGTCGTGGTGAGGAATCAAACTTGGGTTGCCGGGTTCATAGCGCACGGCGCAAATCACTGCGCCACCGCTCCGTCCTCAATAGTAACAATTCAGTAAAATGAGTTTCAATCTTGATCTGATATGTCTACCTTTCTAAAGTACGTTAATCATATAAAAAATATTTTCCCCACATCAGCACCTTTTCAGACGTACTTTTTTCATATTCTTACACACACACAGACGTACGAATGAAAAGTTCTTGATAACAAAAACGCATGGCAAACTTTTTCTGGCATCTTACTCACGTGGTGGACGGGCGCCTTGTTCGTTGGTGTTGTTTTGCGTCGGTTGATGTGAGGCACGACAGTGCACAGTCCACCGCGTTTAACAACTCGGCATTCAAAGCTCAAGAGTCCGTGGCACAATCGCAAAGAGGAGCTGTCACGCGCGCAACGCAACGCGAGTTCGTGGCGTGCATCTCCGCTCACTCACGACCGAGTCGAGCCGGGGTTGATGTGCCGGGCCCGACCGGGCTGGGTTGGGTCGGGTCCGGTTCCAAGACCCTCCCTTTCTTTCTCGTCTACTTCTTCCTCCTCCTCCCGTGGTCTCGTCACCAACCCCGAGCCCACGGGGCCCGTGACGCACGCGGCGCTGCCTTAGTGAACCCGTGTGAACGCGCTGCCGGGAGACGCCGAATCGCGGCTCTGAGTGCGCGCGACTTCGATGCCTGGGATGCGTGGCGGTCGCAAAGCAAAGCGGTGTTCTCAGTTGAACACGTGGGAGGCTTTCGCGGCCAATATCATCCATAATAGAGGGGTTTTTTTAACACGACGTTTCGATCGCGACACAAGCGGTCGTCCGCTTGTGTTGCGATCGAAACGTCGTGGTTTTTGTTATTTTCTTCGAACCTAGCTACGTGACTTTACCGAAAGACCCAAAGAATATGAATTCCTGCAGTCATGAAAGCTTTAAGTCAAGAGGCTTTTTTGGGTTAGATCGCGTAAATATATCAGTGTGTCGTTAAAACCCGCCAACACCCGACACAGCCAACTAGTAAGGGTTGTCACGTAAACAAAACGTGGACAATTCGTGACTAGTTCAGCACACCGGTGTGTTGGAGAGCCAAGTCACAACATAATGCATAATGTACGTTGCCTCAGTAATCTACGCCTCTATATAAGGAACGAAACAGTAAGACTTCTCCACAAATCTGGCTGTCGCCTGATGAAGCTAGTTGTAATTACTGGCGAAACGTCGTACTCAGATTGTAAATGTCGTCGCTTGGCTCTCCAACACACCGGTTAGTGCTGTACTAGTATACTGCACTATACACTACACTATAAACTACACTATACACTAGTGCTGTTTTAGTGTACTACACTATACACTACACTATACACTAGTGCTGTACTCGTGACGAATTGGCCACGTTTTGTTTACGTGACAACCCTTACTAGTTGGCTGTGTCGGGTGGTGGCGGGTTTTAACGACACATTTATATATTTACGCGATCTTACCCAAACCAACCTCTGCTATGGATGGACGCAGTGTCTTCTCCCTGCTTGACTGAGCAATGAGTGCGGCGCCGCTCTTCTTAGGCGGCCGCGAGTGTTTACTGCAATGCTGGCGGAACAGCTTGAACGCATCGGATCGCCTTTGGCAGAATTGGTCCCTTGATGGCGTTGATGGAGATGTATCGGCACGTTCTCGCCGAAATAAATCGGATGAAATGTTACATTGGTCACCTTGTGAATCGCACCCTAGGTGTCACCATCAGACGCGATCAATCCTCCGCTGGATGAAGACCTTGGTGCATTTAATAATAATGGAATGTGTTTTATGCTAAAGGGGAGCAGTGGCGTAGTGGTCTGCGCACTGCGTTACGCATCCGTCGTGTTCGATTCCCGGTCACGGCTCAGCGTCAGCGGGGAGTGATTTCTGAACCAATTCTACGTGCTCCCGTTCACCAACCGGCACTGCTCAGCGTGGTGAAGTATGGCGAAACAACCCCACGACCGCGACACGGCGTGGGTACATGCCTTCGTTCGGCAGTCAAACGACAAAGTTGTCGTGCGTTGGGCACTGCGCGAGCGGTGGCGCAGCGGTTAGCGCAGCGCGCCATGAACCCGGCGGCCCTGAGATCGATTTTCGAGTCGGGGCCGGGTCGCGCGGGTACACAGCGCGCGGTGCGTTCACTGCGCGCGCCACCGCTCCCCCCGCAATTTAAATTCGGGATTCTCCAACTGCATCGCCCGCCTCTGTTCACCGCCCATCATCTGCTTGACCCCCGACCCAGTTTTTGATGTGTACGCTCGGGCTAATGACACTTAATTACACGGGCTCGGTGAGTGGCTCTTAGGTGGACGCGGGCCCTGGGGGAGTACCCACTCTACGCACCAAAGTAAAGATCCCCCACCCCCGTATAGCCTTAACAGACTCTAGGGGCAAGTGCTGTTAGCGAGCACCTATGAAGGTGCCCGAACGGCACACGAGCGGGTGGGTGGCCAGCACGACGCCCGGCCGCATTTGTCTCCCTAGTGGCAATTTTCTTTTTTTTACGCATCGCATTAGGTACTCAATTGAGGCTGAGTCGACCTAGGGCAGGCCCAGGGACTGGTTCAGATAGCCGGGTTTTGTAGCGCAGAGCGATAACTGCTAGAGCCCCCCCCCACCCCCACACGTATCTACAGTAATTGGCACATACCTAATTATAGTATGTGGCCAGTCATTTATAAATCCACTGCTGGATGAATGGTTTCTCCAATGCCCGTGCAGATCGTGGGGGGTTATTTGACTGCTTCACCTCGCTGGAACTGGCCAGTGTGGGTTGGTGAAGGCGGGGAGCATAGATGTACAGCACAACGGCGGTTCAGAATATAGCCAGCCCGGCAGCCTATAACGCCTGTTATGCGTGGTGGTCGACCAACCATGGCTGGGAAAGCGTCCCCTCTTTCAGCATAGTGGAAATCCCACGTTCCCGTGACGGTGGACCATTCGGGCAGCTTCGACATCTGCTGTTGACTTCCGACAACGTGTTTCTCATTCTCGCGACATCGGATGGATGAGTCCATCGTGCGTCCCCCCAGATTTTAATTTGACGGCATTGTTGATTTTCCCAGTAAGAAAAACAACCCAGCGAAGCCTCAACTGAGAAAAAGCATCAGGGAGGGCCCTCCTGCATTGGGATGTTGTGAATCGAATTCAGGTCTCACCGGGTTTCTCACGCTCCACCCATACAATCATACAAATACAAATATCCTCTCCGTATAGCCTTAATAGACTGTTGGGGCAAGTGCGAGCACCTATGAAGGCCGCAACGGTACACAAGGGGGTGGGTAGCTAGCACCACGCCTGACCGCATTTGGCTCACCAGTGAAGATGTTTACACAACGCACCAGGTACTGATTTGAGGCTGAGTCGACCTATGGGAGGCCCAGGACCGGTTCAGATAATCGTCACTGGTGTTCGCAGTGAGCAGGAATGGAAACGCTGGTGGCCGGGTTCGTAGCGCAGCGCGCTAACCGCTGCACCACCGCTCCCCCTACATACATACAACAACAGCAACCGCCGTTCGCAGCGAAGTGGCGGTGACGGAACCACGGCCCTTGTGCCAGGCTAGGTGCACTTAGAGGCCACGTGAAGTGGCCGAAGGCCCGCTGGCAAAGAGGTCACGGGACAGACCCAGGTGCCGTGGGTTGACTGAGATGACTGGCAGATGCACCGTACATACGAAGACACATACCCACAGATGACTATTCTATAAACAATATGTGTGTGGGGGAGGGGTGATTGATTCAAGGACCTGTGGCCAGATGCCATTCATCCGCTATGGGGAAGCAGGCCAGCTCTGCTTGCACTTTGCATGCAGGGCGGATTCGGGCGCTACGCAGGGTTTGATATCTCCCGCTGAATAGTTTCCGTGGTTGCTGCTTAACCGAAGTCGGTGAGGCGTGACGACAGCAGCCACAAGCCACAGCGTTCAGGTATACCGGATGTGGTGTGTAGGGTGAGAGTATTTTCCACCCGGGTCGTAGATTGCGGTAGGTGGGCACGTGATCAGAAGCGATAGCCACAAGGGGATAGCGAGTAGGTAGGTATACTGAATGTGGTGCGCCGGGTGAAGATATTTTTTCTCAGGGTCGCCAAACCATGACACAGACACGGCTGAAAATCATGAGCGTCTTGGCAAATTGTGTTTTTCAGCTGTATCAATCGGATATCTCAGCGAGCTTCTTGAGAATTACATTTCCCGCGGAGATGGAGCTATGCCATTAGATCGTGTGCAGGTGTAAGGTGGCCTTGTTAGATCGCTATGGGGAGTGGTAGTGCAGTGGACAAAGGCTATAGGGCCCGGTGCTGGCCAGCCACCCCCTCGTGTGCCGTGCCAGCCTTCATATAGTTGCTGCTAACAGCACTTTCTCCTACAGTCTGCTAAGGCTATACGGGGGATCTTCACCTTTGTTATATCGCAGTGGGCAGCGGTAGTGCAGTGGCTAGTGCGCTGTGCTTGGAACCCGGCGACCAGAGTTCAGTTCCCGCTCACGACCTACACCAGTCATGATTATCCGAATCAGTTGTGGGCCTCTCCTAATTAAACTCAGCCTCAAATGGGTACCTGATGTAGTGTGTAAACATCGCTAATAGGGAGACAAAGGCGGACGGGCATGGTGCTGGCCACCCACCCCCCCCCCATTTGTGCCGTGCCGGCCATCATAGGTGCTCGCAAACAGCACTTGCCCCAACAGTCTGTTAAGGCTATACGGGGGGTCTTTGTCTTTGTTATATTGCACGACCGTGATAGATTGCGAGATCTGGGGAAGGCCATCATCTAGCAGCGGATCGGTCATTGCTGACGAAGATGGATACGATCTCTGCTGAAATTTGTGACATAAAAAGCTGATGCGCCCAAGCCCGTTGTTAATGAGTATAAGGCCTGATCATCACCATCATCATAATCAACCATGATGAATCCTCACCAGGCCTCACCAAGCCGCCTCCATGTAATCCACCGAGCAACTGCCCACGAGCTAATTTCATCACTCCGTCTCCTCGGTGGACGTGCTGCAGTGCGTGTTCCCTCCTCCGTCCTTAATCTGGACCCAATGTCCATCATCCCTTCTAGCGACGTCTCCAATCTTCAAAACAAAACCCAAAAGACAATATAGAGACGCACGTAGATGCAATTAAAAATCACCCACACGTTTATTTATAAATAGAAAACCATCTTAATCATACATAACATGACCTGACCTCTGACCTGACCTGACCCCCGATGTCAAAGGCAGCTCAAGGCCATAACCAAGGGTCAAAGGTCATGTGCCGAATCAGCAAATTTTCCACCCAAAGGTACACACGAATGTACATTGCATACTGTACATATTGATATTTTTTCGTAATTATTATTTACTTAGTTGTGGGGGTTTATTTTCAATCACTTTTCTCATTTTTTTGGTACGATTTAAAAGAAAAAAAAATTGCTAGCAATGTACAGATTCGCCACGCTGAAATTAAATGTGGGGTTAACTTCTTCATTGCGGAACATCTGCCCGATGTGTTGTGCTGCGCGTCGTTCGGCACGACGTCCGACGTTTCGCTCCCCGCGCTGCCGGAAGCTTCTTCAGGCAACGTCAGGTAGGCGAAGAAGCTGCGGGGGACGTGGCGCGAAACGTCAGACGTCGTGCTGAACGGCAGCACGTGGGAACAACCCGATGGAGCTCATTATTTGGAGAGCTACGCAGCACGACTCGCGAAAACCCTACGCAGTGGCTCATTGCGAATTCAGAGTGCGACCGGAGATGGCGCGCGGGTTGTTATCAGACACGCTCATACGCGGACGGAAACATCATAGGTTATACGCATTTTGTTGGAGGGTGGGTGAAATGTTTACAAATAACTTATGCTTACATTACGTACGATTTTTTGTTCGAAAAAAAAAACACCCTTGAGTGTACAAATTCGTGTTTCGAGAAATGCAATGCTCCTCTCACCGTGTTTGGCTGAGAAATTTTAAATGACCAAAATGTATTTACAGGTAAGGGTTTAAGGAGCGTACTCAAACTCTCCCACCCAGTGGCTGACGGTGGAGACCAGGGCCGGGTTAACGCGGGTGATTCAGGGGGCTGCAGCTCCAGAGACTCGGATTTTGAGCCCCTCTCTCCCTCCCCCAAAATATATAAACAAGTAAAACAAGTTAAAGGTGCAGCTCTGCAATGTCTTGCTTCTGCCACTGTCAGACGTCTTGGAAGAGTGTGGGAGAGTCTTGATTACGGTTGAAACTCAAAACTAGCATTCTGACGAACCCTATCGATAATTTTGCAATGAAATCCATAGAATGCCTGCGTGTATTACCACGATTTAGGTTCCAAAGGTAATAGCGTATTTTTGTTCGTATTTTAATCTCATGTAGTTTCACAACAATTTAGAAATGCAAATAAAAGGAAACCTAACGAACCGATGTGAATGGCAATTGGCTGTTTGACATCGGGCATGGGTGATGGCAAAGCCGTCGGCGGGGGGGGAGGGGGGTAGGAAATGATTATACAAAGAAGTTCCCCCGAAGTAATAACAGCCCCTGGCCCCCATCAAACGTAATCCATCATCGTCAAAGAGAGTCCACCGAGAGCAACAGCATACGGCCCAACTCTGGCGAAACTGAGCCGTGGCGAATCGACACGCTGTTTCTCGTCCACTGACAACGCGCGGCCACTCAGATATGCGAGGCGATGGCGCCGTCTGCACGGGGAAGGGACTGGAGAGCCCCAAGTAACTCCATCATGTACGCGCACAACCCTTTTGTAATATCCACTGTTGGGCGAGGGCCTCCTCACGCCGTTGCGGGCTGTCGTGTTTATTTGGCCGTACTTTCACCACGCTGGAGGGGGCGGTCGGGCGGGCGGGCGGGGGGCGAAGGCTGGCAGCATGGGCACGGGAGCTTGGCAGTGCAGTGCAACAACGGTGCAGTGCTGCACTGAAATCTGTTCCGTCTATCACGTGGCCCAGCAGCATGTGACACTTGTTGCTGAATTTTGTGCATGGCTCTATAATGCGCCAAATAGAACTAACGTATCCTGGCTGTCACCGAAACAAAGAGGAAGATATAGAGGTTTTGGTGACTGGCTTTCTTTAGGAAATAGTTATTTTTGTCATTAATATATATTTAGATTTTTTACTATTTTATTTTTGTCATTAATATATATTTAGATTTTTTACTATTTTCATTAAAACCTCTTATTAACTGCAGGAGGATGGGAGCACTGGCCTAGGTAGCAGATCACGCACTGCGCCATGAACCCGGCGCCAAAAGTTCGATTCCCCATCACGGCTGACACCAGCGGCGGAGTGACATCCGAACCGGTTTTGATCCGCTACCCGCACGCCCCTCCAAAACCCTTGCATCATCCCGGATTGACGAGCGTGGTGAAGTATGGTCAAATGACCTCCATAACCGGCAAGCAGCGAACTGACATCAAGGCTCTAATGGGGGCTAGGGTGGCAGTGCCTGGCTGAAGTGAAGGGAGTGAATGTCTCTCGCGTAATTCCCAGAGCCCCGCAAACCAACTGGAGACGGTCTCTCCATAGGATTTAATAGAATTATTATTATATTCCCCCTCGCCCCCACCCGTTATAACATTTCTCTCCGTGATTCCAATTTCTCAAGGAAGGATGTAAATTGTCCTCTATTAAGATAAGTCGTGCTGATATTCCCACAATTACAATAACACTTGGACTCGTGCCGTTAATAGGCTATACGGACTTGAATGCGTGAGCAAGGTCGTGGCAAGTATTAAAAACCGGCGCGGTCTCAACGCTGTCTCACAGAGGAACGCGTGATGCGGCGGGGAAGCACTATTGAGAACACTCGCGCGGAAGAGGGGGGGGGGGGTGGGGGGAGACGTGGGGTGGGGGTGGGGGGGTGCTCGCCGGCCTGAGCAAGCTCCGAGTAACTTGGTAAGGCGCCGGGAACTCGCGGCGGCGACGACGCCGCCGCCGCCGCCGTCGAATAACGGCACGACGGACGCGACCGCGGCTGTGGTTAGAGATTATGCATGGGTTAGTGCGACAGGGGTCGGGGGGGGAGAGGGGGTTCTGTACACGGGGGGTCGTGCGGCTCAGGGCCGGTGGTGAATTGCTGCACTGCAATAACGCAGCCGTCGCGTAAAGGCGCCGCAATCGTTGCGCGCGTGAGCGCTCAATCGTTGCGCAACGACAAACAATCGTTGCATAACCCTTACCGATCATTGGGCGGCGATACACAATCCTTGCACTGCACGATCATTTGTGCACCGATGCACAATCGTGGCACAATCTTTGCGCAATCATCGCTGCGATGATTGCGCGTCGATGCGCGAACACCCCGCAACGCCTCTGCCGTCGAGCGATTCGCGCTCACGCAGCGACGGCTCGCTCCGCTTGGGATGGCTCGGCGTGCGGAGCGCGGCTCGGCAAAACTCGGCGTCACGTCGCGCAAAGTTGGTCAAATTCAGCCCCGGGATTCATCTGGCGTTCGAACCGCCTCTCGCCCGATGGCCACCCACCACCGTCAGAAACTTTACTCGGCAAAATGCATTCGACACCGTGGAAACCTCCCCCGCCCCTGCCGCAGAGGCGTTCCGCGCAAGGAGTGAGAGTTCACACGTAAACCTTGCTTGCATTTTCTTTTTAAAATAAGAACGCCCGGCCAAGCGATTCCATTGTCTCGTTTTTTTTTATTCTACTTGTGTTATTGCGAAACGCCATAAATAAAGTATGTATTTAAATCTTCCGAAGGAAGCGAAAAAACGTGCGGTTGCATAAATAATGCTGTGCACACAAGAGCGCCGTAAGCAAAAAATGCGCTCATCGCAGTAATAATAATAACAAAGCTGAAAAAAGGTGAACAAATGTCACTCGGCATCAGATCGCGTCGTTTAAAAAAATCCGCGGTGGCGGCGGCACTGCGCAGATTTCCACGCAAACGTGGCCGCGACTTTTTATCACGCTGGACCCCTACGCGGTGGGCTACCCGTTCACGCGCGTGTCATTACTCGGATATTATAGATTATTACCAACCTCGTGTCCCTTAAGCGTAATAAACGTGGAGTGGCCCTCGTGATGGGCCGAAGGGTCTGAACGACGGCGGAGGGCGGGTGTGAATGGCAAGGCCCACGTTAATGACGTAAGCCGAGCGGGTGATTATATCGAGTGCCTGTGTGTGGAGACGCTGCGGTGTCCGCCTCCGAACGAACATAATTGCACGACACAAGAAAATTAATCCGCAAGTATAGGTAATCTTGAAGCGTCGTGTTGCCGGATGACTGAGCCCCAGGAAACATCTGTAGAATACTGAGCACGTGTGAGCGTGTTTGTGTACGTGTGTGCACTATATATAGGTATCTGAAATTGACACGTTCTTTTTTTTTCTTATCGTTCCATCAACTGACACGCGTTGAGCTCCTCCTGGTAATCCATACCGGGATTTGTGAAATCGCAGGTGATGTTATTGTTGATTTCTGCTTCCAAGTGGAAGAATTTCGGATCTTTCCGACAGAGTTAATCGAGAAAGTTGACGACTGGATGAATGCAGTCTGCGAGATTGAAATCCCAGCGATGTACTTCATTTGATTGTCATGGTCTCCACTATGGTCATTTAAACGCAATACATTTTGTGAACCGTTCGCTCATCCAATTGTCTCTGTTCTTTGTGGAAGGTGCATTTGTACAAAATGCATTTTGTTTTAAACCACCGTGGAAATAATCGTTGTTATGCTTTCTACTTTCACGCTCTTCACGAATGAGAATTCACGAACAAAAAATAAACGGTGGAATTTAGGATCGCAATCGGATTGTGAAGCTTCGCAGTTATTCCAGAAAGCCGACGCGATTAACGGAGAGAAATTATGTAACCTTCGTAATAACCGTCATTATGGTTATTAGGAAAAAGTAAAGAAAACACTGGCAATGAAATGTAATATTTTTCCACGAACAAAAATGTATAATCGCAGTTTGATCACAGCAAAAGAAAACAAGAAATAAACCCGTTAAGTGAGGTGGGACGTGACCAGCAGAGAATCAGCAGCAGAGGGGACCAGCGCAGAAGGGCAATTCAAGTCCTGAAGCCTGGAGTATAGTGGCACGACCTGGTGTGTCAGAAGTCGGCTCCACGTGGTTAGCAATTCCTCGTGGTGGCATAGCTCCATGTAGTTGTGAGATGGTTTGTGGCTGGGACTTTGATGTGATCTACATCTCCATGTGGTTGAGAGCAACTTGTGGTTAGCAGCTCCATGTGGTCGGGAGTTCCATGTGGTTGAGAACTGCTTGTGGGAACTGCTTGTGGTTGAGAGCTCCATGTGGTTGAGAACTGCTTGTGGTTGGGACCTCCACGTGGTTGGGACCTCCATGTGGTTGGGACCTCCACGTGGTTGGATCCATATAATTGAGAGCTCCGCCCGTGGCTGAACCTTCTCTGCACTCGCGCAGCCACCCGATTCCCGTCCCCGCAATCCCCGCCGCGAGTCCCCGCGTCGCCCAGCCGCGACTCGCTCCGGCGTCGCTCAGACGAAGGAGGAGAACCCCGCGAGCGCCGGCCGGTACCCGGGGCCCTGCAGGCCGCCGAACTCGGGCTCGGTGAGTGGGTACGGCGCGCGGGCCGTGTGGTTGGCGCCCTCGGCCTCCCCGCGCTCGGCGCGCGTCACGTCCTTCTGCTGCCGCCGCCAAGAGTTGTAGTACGTGGGGTCGCTCATGTAGTGGTTCACGAACGAGTGCTGGGGCGCGGCGCCCACGGCCGCCCCCGCAGCGGCCACCGCGGACGACGACGTCGGCGTGGCCGGCGCGGCCGAGGTGCCCTTGGACGTCGTGGTGGTGGCCGTGCCGCCGACGGACGGCGGGGAGTCGCGGTCGGTCTCGTGCTCGTCCGAGTCAGCCTCCTCCTCCTCCACCTCGCTCTGCGGACACACGGACAGAGGGAGGGGGGAAGGGGGATTAGGGGCCGGGATGAGCGGCGGTGCAGAGCGGTTGGGATGGGCCAAGGTGCTCAGAATGAAATGCCCTCCCCCCCTACCCCCTGTCCAAGACCTCCCCCACCACCATCGCCTCTTTGTAAGTCGGCGCCTGGGCCTCTTCTGGTGCACGGACCTCTCTGGCGCGTGGGCCCTGGTGCAGCGGCACCACCTGTACATTCAATGGCAATGCCACTGGAGTTGGGCTGGTGTTGGTTAGGGAGTTAGCGTTAGGATCAGTCGTAGCAGGTGCAGGGGCCTCAACGTGTATCAAGGGGGGCCTCCAGTGATGGACCACTATTAATGCCCCGGCACCCTCTCCCCACCAGATGTTAAGAGTGATGGTTGGGGGGGGGGTCCTGTCTGTCTCGTATATGGATCCTTGCAATAATCCAAAATGTGAGGACCCCCTCACAGCCCAAACATCTTAGGTGGGGGGGCCCTAAAGAGCACGTTGCAACGAGGTCCCTTGACCCCTAAAACCAGAGGTGGCTAGAGACTCGGGGACCTCTCTTGCTGATTGCATGAACAAACGTGAAGTGATTTTCTTCCAGGCTTAACTTAAATTGCTGTAAAAAAGACAAACTGAGTGTGAAATTCCATTTAGGAGTGGTGAAAGCGGAAGGCAGGGACGGGGCGGTGCGGGGGTGTTCTGTGCAACCGGCCCACGAAATTCACAACGATAATGAAGATGGTCATCAGCGATGATTGCGTTTGTAATGTGCGATGAGCGACGCTTGGCGAGTGACGGAGCGAATGTGTCTCGCCGTGACGGCGCCGCATTCATCTGCCCGTCGGGCGCTCCAGCCGGCTTCAGGGTAGGGACAAATAAAAAACCCCGCAACATGTATGGCAAGTGAATTATAATCCACTCCGATCCAATTGATTATTATTTTCTTCTTTATGCGTCTACTTTATTTTTAATCAGCCCCACGGCGTTTGCAATTCCGTATTGATGAAAGTTTTTTTTTTTTAACAAAATTTGTTTTACGGAAGCAATGTTAATAGCACCGATGGTGAATCACGCCGTTAAGCACCAACGTCGCCGCATTCGCTCTTGTGTTTTTTTTGTAAACTTCCCCCTGTTTCACGAACCGTGATTATACCGTAAAAGTACAAAGCTAAAACAACAACAACAAGACTCGCAAATTAAATGTTTAGCGCGTTCAGTTCGCTGCTAATTGCAAGTCTCCGCATGACTTCACGTTAAACAAACACAGCTTTGCTCTTTTTCTCTCTCTTTCTCTCTCTCTCTCCAAATAAGAATTCATAACAGACCATGCGCCTGAGCAAAAACAACTCCCGAGCGAGCGTGAGCGTTCAGATAAACCACTCTTTAAGCCCTGATAGTTGAGTCCACTGAAAAGAATGAGTGGGGGGGGGGAGGCTGGGAGACAGCCTTCACAACGAGAACGGCGGTGGGATTGAGGATAAACAAAGAAGGGAGCGGCGATGTTGTGGAGTAATGCTTTGTAACAAGTCCTCGGTGGCTCACGCAACCCACACGCCGAACCACCCCCCCCCCCTCCTTGCGGACATCCGCGCACCGCTCCGATGTCAATTTAAGATTCGCGTCGCAGCGCGCCGCTGTCGGGGGCCGCGCACGGAGAATTTTCTGTTTGCACTCAGTCACATATTCACTTTAAGATGTTTTTTGTTCATGTTTTTGTTTGTTGCGGTTGCACCCGATTCAAGAGCCGAATGGCTCACAGGGCTATACCTAATAAATGAACTTGAACTTGAAATGGTTCTCGGTTTGACTCGACGTTGGGAGGATTCACCGCGATAGAGCCCCCGAGTAGCTTGATGAAGCCCCAAACGCTGCTTGGTTTAAAGGTCGGAGTTATGGCGCCGATTGTACATACGACAAACAAGCCGTGGGGGAGAGGAGGGGGGGGGGTCGGGTCGCCTCCCCCCCTCCTCCTCCTCAAGCCAAGCACAGAGGATGAGGGCGGCAGTAAATATGCCACCACCACCACCCCGAGTGTCGAGCAAGCGGCGGGCAGGTTCATTGCGCGGGGCGCACGCACCGGATTAGTTTGCACGTGGAATACGCGACCAAACAACGCGGTTCGGTCCGGGTGTTTAACGACGCACGGATGCATGAGATTCAGCACATCGGTTTGAAGAGCGATATGCACTGCAGTCGAATGCGCTACACGTGTTTGTGTTGTTTGACGCGCGTGGTTTCTTGTGATGCGTATATGACAGATTTGTAATTGGGTTAACTCTCACCTGCAGCTGCTAGAGGCTTGCTTACATTCGCTACAATACAAAAAAATATAGTCTTGAATTCAATCGCGAGTCTGAATCGCAATATTTCAATTGAATCACTGGGGAAGGGATGGGAGGAGGGGGTTTAGGGGTCACTGGGGGTGTGAATGATTACACCCCCAACCCCCCCCCCCCCCGAATCAATACTGCTTGGAAGTATACACTGCATTCTTTTAAGCGCGTGTAAATTTACTGCTGTTGACTGGGGCAGGAGGGCACAGTTGGTTAGTGCACTGTGCTATCAACCCGGTCACCTGAGTTCAATTCCCGGCCACAGCTCACATCAGTCGTTGGGGCGAGATCCGGTCACTGCTTATGCCCCCCACCGTGACCTCTTCACCAATGCTTCCCATCGTCACCGACCCACATTGAACAAAGTGGCGAAGCGTGGTCAAAGAAACCCCTGTGATCGGAGGCCATCATTCAGCAGTGAATTGACAAGGGGTGCCGTAAAGGATGAAAAAAAAATATATATATATACCGTGTACACGTACTTTGTAATATACTCTGCATGTAAAACATGTACGGACACGTGTTCATGCAAACTTACACTTAAAAAAAAATGTTTAATTCAACAAACTGGGTGAGGTTTCCCCCCCTCCCCCCCCCATAGTGCAATTTCAGGAGTGTCCAATAGCGTAACTGATTGATTAACAGTTATGCCGCAGCTTACATTAATTCAATTAGCCACACCTGACATCAGCACTCAACGAAATCCGGAGTGGCCACTCAACCTGATAAACAGCTGTTGGAGCTCAACACCTCTCAGTTTCTACATATCTCTGTCTCTCTCGCTGAAATATATGAACCGAAGACATCGTCCTGCCGTATAGCCATGTGAACTATTGGGGGAAAAGTCTGAAAGCAAGCCCCTAATTAAGGCTGGTACGGGGCATCAGGGGGTGGCAGGGCCAACACCATGTCTGGTCAGTTTCCAAATGCCACTGTTATTGGACCATGACCTGGAATCGAATGAGTCGCTGGGGTTTACAATGCAGTGTATTAATCGCTGTGCCTCTGCTCACTATGTATATAGAACAAAGACAAAGGTCCCCTGTATATCCTTAACAGATTGGCGAGGCAAGTACTGTTAGCGCCCGGTCTCCCGAGTGGCGAACTTTACACACTGCACTCGATACTCATTTGGGGCTGGATCGACCTAAGGGAGGCCCAGAACCGATTCAAATAATCGTCATTGGTGTTCGGAATCCAACTTGGGTCGCCGGGATCATAGCGCAGCGTGCTAACCACAACACTACCCCCCCCACCCACTATAGACACACACACACACACGCAGGAAGATGAACACATGGATCAGATAACATACACAAGTTAGAGATATATCGACTGTTAAAAAAGGTAAGTGTGCTGTCGCAGGGCATGTCGCCAGGAGGGAATGATGTCTGATGTTCAAGACCAATGACAGAGTGGCAGGCAAACACGCCCCGGTAGGAGGGAACACGCCTGAGAGAATGTCACCATAGAGCGAGATGGATCGTTGCATCGTGAAACCGTGAGAGATACCTACGGCCTTCATCCAGCAGTGGGTAGATCAAGGCTGATGATGACGATGCAAACACACAGACAAAGAACCCCCGTTTTGCCTTAACAGACTGTTGGGGCAAGTGCTGTTAGCGAGCACCTATGAAGGCCGGTAGTGGTACACGAGGGGGTGGGTGGGTGGATAACACCACCCCTGGTCGCCTTTGTCTCCCAAGTGGCGATGTTTACACACCGCACCAGGTACTCATTTGAGGCTGAGTCGACCCACCGGAGGCCCAGGACTGGTTCAGATAATTGTCACCGGTGTTGGCCGCGAGCAGGAATCGAACCCGGACCGCCGGGTTCATAGCACAGCGCTAACCGCTACACTACCGCTCCCCCCACACACACACAGACACACACAAACACAGACACACGCGTGCGTGTGTTTGTGTAATTGTTGGCTACTGTGTTCGTTTCTTTCTGTCTGAATTTCAGCAAAGCACGCCGACGTCCCGATCGCGTCTCGTTCTCTCTAATTTCAAGTTGCATGGAGAGAGCTGCCACCTACTGTGAGGACCAGAAGCCACTTGAAGGGATTTCAGAGGTAGCTCTGTGTCATCAACTTCCGGTGAACCGATCTCGAACATAGAGGATGGAATTCAGTGCTAAATTACATCCAGAAGGTTTTAAAACACTCTTCAGGGAATTATCTTGGTCACGCCACATCCATCTAAACTAATTTTACTTATTGTATTGTGTCGTCCAGATATTCTAGGAATATGAAGTTCAAATACGACAGGATTATTATGGACAGGCATAGCTTGTACTCTGGTGGTGGTGGTGCCTAAAGCCGATAAACCATATTCCCAAGCCAGTCTAGTGGTGTTCTGGAAATTATCGAGTGAGAAATGAAGCCCTGGTTTGCACTTTTGCTCTGTGAGGAATCCGAATGGGATGCATTGTCTTGTGACAGTGATAAAAAAAAAATCAGGATAAAGTTGGGGAAAATTACAAAAATTTGTGAAGTAGTGTAGAGAGGGTTGAGAATGCATCCCAATCCCTCTCATGGGATCGCTCCATCACCATCCCAGAATCTTCACCCAGATCCGGAAGAATGCTGGCGGTGGAACAGCACGGACGTTTGGAATAAACACGTCATATGAGACCAAAACATTGCACCTTCTGGA